ATATATATATATATATATATATATACACACACATAGATAATTAGTGTGAGTGTATTTCATAGAAAAAAGTAATAAATTAATCCACTAAAAAGAAACTAAACATTTATTTCTTCAGGAAATATAAAATGCTTTTGTAATAGCTTATATAACAATATGTACAAAAGTGTATATTGGCTGTAACAATATGAAAATGGTAATAAAACAGTAAAATGTAAACACTTTTTATATATGTGCATATATGACGCCTGCGCCAAAACAATGAAATACAGAACATAGTTATTTGTTCTGTAACTATGAAAAAAAAGATAAATGCTAACCTGATCTCTTTGCATGTCGATTTAACTGCTTCTAAAAACTTGGGAGCATGAAAGTTCTGGTTTATGTCTTCAGTCTGTGAGTTGAAAGCAGTCCAGTAAGTTTATGTCATTTATGTCACAACAATAAACACATGAAGAAGTCACAGTTCATTTTTGACTGTAAAACTAAACTTAATGTATGGAGTGTAATTGTCCTACATGTTTTGATATTTTTTGTTTAATCTAAGTAAAACTGTGGCTGGAGCTTGAATGATGGTGACGAAAATGATGGTGCTGCTCTTTGTGGTGCGGCGCTCTGGTTTTCAGAGCAGGTTTCCATCCAAGTGCTGTTAGGTGTCGACCTCTTCTCAAGCGCACAAATGATAAGCAAGTCTTTGTGTCCTCAGTTGGCCTGGAGCTGCTGCAGCAGGGGGTTTGCCTCGCTCTCCGGGGTTTTGACGCTGTCCGTCCGGACGATGCACGTGGGACGATGGCGGTTGAGCATGAGGATGAGCTGCTGTCGCTCAAGTTTGAGCTCCTCAATTTGGGCTTTAAGATCAGAGTTTAGCATCTCTAACCTTTCTGACTCCTGCAAGACGAAAAAAGACATTTGAACATTTATAGATGAAAAAGGGGTGAAGTGGCGTAAAGAAGATTGTCTTGGTGTGTTCTACATTTTGTAGATAATCTGTCCTCTCTTTCTTTTTGTTTCGACATCGAGCGGCAGCCACTTTGTTTTTCTCTCGCCTCCGTTTTCTCCTCTCCTCCTCTTCATCTCTCTAAAAAAACAATCCAGGGGTTACAATACGTTAGATTGCAGAATACAAAGACTTCTCTCCCCTGTCTGACCACATTCCACCCATAATAATCAGTACAAATAGTCCCATAGTGTCCCACTAGATAAGGGGTCTGCAACCTGAGGCCCTGGAGCCGCATGTGGCCCTTCAGCCCTTCTGAAGCATCACTTTGTATCTTTTAACAAATAAAATGAACCTGCATAAAGTTTAGATTTAAATCAATCAGTAGGAAACAGTGAATTTACTAGTTTAAATGTGCAATAAACTTCTGCAGCACAATAACAATAATACAAGTGGGCGGGGCTGGTTGTGCGAACAGTTTAAAAGCATTTTTAGCACACAGTGCTTTGCCATCATTTCAGAACAAGTTTGCACAGCTGTTGAGCTAAAATACTTTTTTGTAGTTTCTTTATGTAATGCCTTTACATATAGTAAATGGACTGTACTTATATAGCAACTTTCTATCTTATCGAGATGCTCAAAGCGCTTTACAACACAATCTGGGCCTCATTTACCCATTCATACAGCACTCTACTACAAATGTAGATCTCTACAAAGCTACTTGAACAAATCATTCATACAATGATGGGACACATCGGAGGCAATGAGGGGTTCAGTGTTTTGCCCAGGGACACTTCTGCATGTGACTGCTGATAGAGTCGAACCCCCAACTCTCATTGGAGGACGACTGCTCTAACCACTCAGCCACAGCCACCGTGTAGTCTTTAACTAAATCCAGAAAAAAAAAAAACATTATTTAAATACTTGTGGCAAAGTGTTTGGTTTCCTATAATAACAACAACAACAACAATCATCATCATCATCATGAAGAAGAAGAACAACAAGAAGAACAAGAATAAGAAGCACAAGAAGAAGAACATGAACAAAAATAAAAAGAAGGAGCACAAGAACAAAAAGAAGAAGCACAAAAACAACAAGACGAAGCACAAAAACAAGAAGAAGAAACACAAGAACAAGAAGAAGCACAAGAACAAAAAGAAGGAGCACAAGAAAAACAAGAAGCACAAGAACAAAAAAGAAGCACAAAAACAACAAGAAGAAGCACAAAAACAACAAGAAGAAGCACAAGAACAACAACAAGAAGAAGCACAAGAACAAAAAGGAGCACAAGAACAAAAAAGAAGCACAAAAACAACAAGACGAAGTACAAAAACGACAAGAAGAAGCACAAAAACAACAAGAAAAAGAAGCACAAGAACAAGATGAAGCACAAAAACAAGAAGAAGAAGCACAAGAACAAGCACAAGAACAAGACGAAGAATGTTTCATTTTCAGGGGTTGCCACAGCGAGTCTTCCTCCTCCATCTCACTCATAGCGAACTATCTCGCACGGAGACTTGGCAATTATTTTTACGTCGGATGCCCTTCCTGATGCAACCACAGACCACCAAGCTACCACAGCTCTCTGTGTGGCGCAGAGAGCTGCTATCTAGGGTGCCCGGGGGAGCAGATGGTGGGGGTTAAGGGCCTTGCTCAAGAACTCAGAGTGGGGCAAATGAGGAGTGGAGGCAGGTGTGGGTGCTTCATCTTTCCACACATGTTGATGTTGTTGGTATGGGAAGTGGAACCGGCAACCTTCCAATCACAGGCCCACCTACTCTAACCTCTGTGCCACCACTCCCCCTTGTTTGGTTTCCTTTAATAATGTGAACAAATATAAATAAAGGCTTGCTTCTAATAAAAACCTGGTTCCCTGATCGGTTACATAAAAGCAGGACGTTGTATTAAAAACAACAACAAACTGAACTCGTTTCTCTGTTTAATCTCTTTCAAACACTTGGCTGCAGCTTTATCTCAGCCTGGTTACTTGTATAATTCTTACACATAATTCTAAACAGGAATGTTACAATTTTCTTTACATATAAAGTTTGTAAGACAAATGGAGAGGGGGATAAGATAAAGGAATGTACCCTCAACTCAAAACATCCCCGTGTATCAGATCAGTGGGAAGTCTTGGTAACCACTGGATCAGTGTCTTATACCTCCGTTTTGATGACTAGAGGTCTCTTTCCAAAGCTGTCCAGGAAGTGCAGCGGTGACAACATTGTTCCAAACTCCTGGAGGTCGCCAAATTTGAGCTTGTCGGTCAGCGTGGTGGCTGAGATCCCAGCCAGCGGGCCCAGGCTGGGCAGGGAGCCCGCCGTCACAGAGGGATCTGGGATTTGTCCTGGCATCGCGTCAGACTCGGTCTTCACCGCAGCTGTGAGAGTCAAGAGGGAGAAAAGAGGGAGACATTTTCAGACGGCAATGAAAGCAGGTTTTATGAGTCTGTTCACCTCATCTGAAGGTTGGCATTAAGAAGTTCTTCTTTCTTACTGATAAGGATGGTCTTGTCTGATAGTGTTTGGTACAAAGAGGTGAAAAAGACATAACTTCACAGAAAGGCTGAAATTTTTCATGAATGTTCCTTTTATACCCAATTCGGACGTCCTCACCTGCCAAATGCAATCACTATAAAATACATTTAAACAATAAGGTTGTTCAGTAAAAACAGAAAAGAACTTGTTTTTCTATTAGATTTACTAAATTGTCTATATATTTTATTGGTTTTATTTGATCCACAGGTTTAAAACGGCTTTCACTCGAGGCTCACTTGTCCATTTGTAGCAGCTCTGACTCGCTGCTCAGTGGTGAATAACTGGTTTGTTACAGGGGCAGGGCGCCGAGGCTGCCTCCCAAATTTATTACAAGTTTTGCCACTTGACCTGGAATTAATGCACCAGCATTCACAAGAACTTGGCGAGTTTGTCCCTTTTTTTTTCTCTAATCCCAACCAAACTCAAACAAATTCCTCTTTTATTCCAAGGGGAGCTTGGCCGAGAAATACCCGTTAACTGCCGTTTCCTCCTTATGAGACCTAACGTAAGGGGAGTGGAATGTGGTCAGGTTTAGCTACATTCAATTTGTTTTGTTTAGTTAATTCACAATTCTACTGGAATAGGAGACTGTAAACTTTCGGTTGTAGCCGTTCTGGTCTTAATAAAGTTATGCATAATGCTGTGAGACATAAAGTGAGCCTTTTGATCGACTCTCAGCTACTACCACATCAAATTTTAGGTCAATATCTGTATTATTGAAAAAGTTATGACCATTATTGTGTTGGCTGATGTCGATTTGCAGCTATTTTGAAATGAAGTGACTCCATGATAGATGTACCGTATTTTCTGGCCTATAAGTCACACCTTCTTGCCTAATTTCCTGTATTCACTGGTTAACTGGACATCATTAACTTCACACAGACTCTTCCATTGGTACATTTTCAAGTTTAAAACACTTCTTGGTCTGCTGCCTTCATACATCTCCTCCTACATGTCACTGCGTGAGTGCAGCTACAGCGTGCACTCTCAGGACATTATTACCTGCAGTGTTCCCTCAGTGAGGACTGAACTAGGCAAGTGGGCCTTCTCCTACTCTGCTCTTGTTTCCTGGAATATCTTGCAAAAAGATCTGAAGCTCTCAACCTTGACCTCTCTAAGTGTCTTCAAACATCTGCTAAGTTCCTGAGAAAAACCAATGCAGACATGTTCCTGTTTTTAGTTTTTTAAATCGCCTTATAATCTAGCTGTTTTTTTGCTACTATTCCTCTTGATTGTCCTTTTGGTTGCCATTGTGTTTTGATTTGTTAAAAAAAAAAAGAGAAACTTACATTTATATGCCTATTTTATGACTGTCTATTGTTGTCATTGTTGTCCATTGTTGTCATCACGCTTTGTTAAGAAATCAGGTCTCTCTTGTAAATGAGTCCCCGAGGCTCAATGGGATTAACCTGTTTAAATAAAGGTTGAACAATTTTCATACCCTGCGACTTTTAGCCAAAGCAATTTATTTATGTTTTTTCCCATATTTATTAACCCAATTTTTGACTGAGATATGACCATTTTCATTCATTCTGCCAATGAAAATATTGAACACTACCAACAAAATCCATGCTCAATAATCCAGGTATACAATCCAACAATTTTCAGTCAGGTCATCTGGACAGTTTCTTTTTTTTTTTTTTTTTTTTTGCTGAAACGTTTCACCTTCCATCCAGAAGGCTTCATCAGTCAAGGAAACACACAACACAAAACTGATTCTTCCCCCAACAGCTTACTCCAAAGTGGAACAAACCAGTTATGTTGGTGCTAAGATGGTCTCTTTGGTACGCCCCCTCCTCTGGTGCCGGCCCTCTCCCTCGTCGACAGTCATGTCAAAATGATTCAAAACCAACAAAGTCCAGTGCTCAATAATCCAATCCAATAGACCAATAATCCACCTGACTGAAATTTGTTGAATTGAACACGAACATTTTCAGCCGCTAAATGGCGCTCAAGTTGTATGGCATGCCGTTGTGTCATTTAATAGGTAAAAGTGGCTATTAATGACACAAACAGCTTGCCACAGCCTGCCACCTTCGTCCAGCTCGTCTGGAGCAACCGTCAAACTAGCTTCATTTTGCTGCGCCTCCCCGACAAAATGCAGCTAATTGGAGCATTGAATTGCATTTATTAAGTAAAAGTTCAACTGAGACACCTTTACTATAAAGTCGAGCAAACAAATTATTGTTTTCAGGTGGTTATCTTGTTAAATTTCGAAGAAATGCACTGCAAGTCCTGGGTTTTTGAAATACAGCTGATTTGACCGTCAAAGTGCATTTATTAAGGAAAAGTTAGACTGAGATACACCTTTGCTATAATTTCGAGCAAACAAATAATTGTTGTTGCGACTTATACTCCGGTGCAACTTATAGGCCAGAAAATACGGTAAATGCAATGATAACGGTCTGAAGGTTACTGTATTTTCCGGACTATAAGGCACACTTAAAATCCTTTAACTTTCTCAAAAATGAACAGTGAGCTTTATAATCAGGTGCACCTTATGTATTAATTCTGGTTGTGCTTACTGACCAGGAAACGATTTTATGTGGTACACGGTGCTCAAAAATCGGACAAAATATTTTTGTTTTGCTTAATGCACCTTATAATCTGGTGTGCCTTATAGTCCGAAAAATACGGTACTTTAAAATCCATCCTGTGGTTCACGAGATATTTTGCTAACAGTCAAAGAAAGTTTGACTCCAGTCATTGCTAAAGCTTTAATAAAATATATTGTGCAATGAGTCAAACTTGAATTATGTGCTGTGAAGGGATCTCAGCTACAACCACACCAAATCGTAGCACAATATTTGTAAAATGGACCGACTTATTATTTAAAGATTTATTACGTCTGCGGTGTGTGGCAGCCATCTTGAATTGGAATGGTTCCAAAAGTTAATCATCTGTAGATGTACATCCATTCATAATTCTCTGAAAGTGTAATTAAAATCATGAAAGTGGACATTTTCCTAACAAGCAACTACAAAACGTTAATGGCAAAAAAAATAACTAAGACCTTGCACAATCTTTTAGCTTTCAAAATGTATGTTAGGGACCAGTCTTGACTACTACCATACCAGATGTTTGATCCAAATCTGTAACAGTAATCGAGTTATAGCCATGTTTGTGTTTCTTTGGCAACCATCTTGAATCGGATTGACTCAAAAAGTTAATCAGTTGTAGATGTTCATCTAATCATTACTTTCTGCAAGTTTCATTAAAATGTTCCTGTGGTTTGCGAAATTTCTTGGTAACAGACACAGAAACACAAACAGACACAAGAAAAAAATGTCTGCCTTCTCCTTTTGACTCATTTCCAAACCACATCACAAAGCAAAAAATAAAACCATTTAAGATCAATGACTTAGAAACTTTTACTCCAGAAGCAACAAGCTGCGCAACAGGAAACTGACTTTGTGGAAAGCTAACATCTGACGCTGTTTAAGGGAGAACATTCAGGTTGAGACTTGTGCTTCGATTTACACAAAACAACAACAGCAACAAAAAAAAAAAATAATTCATGAAAATAATTTTCAGTTTGACACTTCCTGAAACCGGTCACAACAAGAAGTGGAAGTCTGCAGAACATTCTGCTGGAAACCACACTCGTCTTGAAATGATTCAAAGCACACAGGACAAAAAATAAAGAACCGTATTTAACAGGGACGAACATTTTTATGTAAAACAAAAAAACTTCCCCAAATTCAAGAATTTGTGCTGGAGAAGCTTCAACCGTAACGCACCTAATTAAAGGTACTCTGCAATGTCATGACAACAGGTCATCTGTGGTGGAAGTGGTCTCCAGCTACAAGTACTTGGGTGTGCACCTGAACGACAACCTCAGCTGGAGCTACAACACCACCAGCCTGATCAAGAAAGCTCATCAGAGACTCTACCTCCTTGGGCGGCTGAGACGAGCTGGTCTGGGAAGCTCAGTCCTCACCTCCTTCTACAGGTGGAGAGCATCCTGTGCTCCAGCATCAACATGTGGCATGGAGGCTGTACAGCTGCAGAAAGAAAAGCTTTGCAGAGAGTGGTGAAGGCTGCACAGAAGATGTTGGAGTCAGCCTCCCCACCATCACAGACATCTACACCTCCAGATGCAGGAAGAGGACCACCTGCATCATGAAGGACCCCACTCACCCAGCACACACACGCTCCCCTCGGGAAGGAGGTTGAGGAGCAGTAAGTGTACAACCACTAGACTGAGGAACAGCTTCTACCCTGAGGCAGTTAGACTCATGAATCTCCAACCAGGAAAAATAACTGTAATGACACTTTAATTTGAGATTTGACACGCTGCTGATTTTTCATGCTGCTGATCTCTTACCTTAAGCTGCTATATTCATACCCGTCTGCTTACAACAGACTCATGTTCAGGCTGCTGTTTAATATACTGTATTATATTACATTATTATTGTTTAGCGTATATCTTAGATCCTTGTATACGTTTTCTTTTTTTTATATTTTAGCAGTTTTTTTGTGTAACTGGGACTTGAATACACAATTTCCTTCCACCTCATGTACGACATGTGATGCGAATGGGTCCTTACATTAAAAACTTGGGAGCAAAACTTGTGATGCAACGTCCAACTACCTCGTGCATTTGTTTACCTCTGGAAACAGCCGAAGTGACAGAAAATCACCGTTCGGAACGGAGAAGTCTGACAATTTTTATGTATTTATGCTCAGTTTTCTTGCGCAAAACATGCAGATTTGTTTACAGTGAGCGCGTACCCGCATTCCAGAGTTGCATCTTGAAGAAAGCTGGAGTAAACTCTTTCAGACTGTAGCATTTATTAAAGTTTTTGTTTATGCGAGTTCACACCTTAAAACATCAATTTGTAATAAAATTTAAACAAACTAATAAATTAGCTTATAGCTTGGTGTTTTCAGCTGCATAAAGTTACTTCAGGTTATGCTGCGTAAAAGCGGAAGTCTAATTTTTTTTCAAGCTTTTTCAAGTCTTATGTAAGTTTGCCTGCCCCCCCAGTTATCAAACGTTACGGCTTTTGTAGATTTGATCCTGAAATCAAGTATTAATTTAAGTATTTCCCTTTAAAAGAACTGCGCAGCCCTGATGGAAACGTTACCCTGGAATAAACGAGAACATTTTGTTCTGATTTGTGCACGCCATGATTCATGCGAAAGGAGCGTGCACGCAAAATATATATATATAAAAAGGCATTAATTATTTGTTTGTTTGTTTGTCTCTGCAGCTTGATCAAGGCAGGCTTCCCTCGAACATGAGGAACAACAAAAGGAGCCGCGCGCTGCAGCCAATCCGCGTTTGGATGATCAAAGTGTCGGAAGTTTTGTTTACCGACCTGACTTGGACCCCAGGTGCAACAAATGTCCTTTCTTCTGCTCAGCCGAGGATCGAGAGTAGATTCTAAAAAGTGGGAATCGTTGCATCAGCCCGACTTTCAAACGTGATCCCAGTCTGGAAGGATTTGGGAATGCGGAAATTAAGCGGGTGCCAGGCGAACGTAAGCAGGGATGTTTAAAAAAAGAAGAAGAAAAAAAAAAAAAAAGAGAAAAGAAAAAGTAGATAGTGGGGGAGCAGAAGTGAGGAAATCTCCCTGCTCCTCCCATACAGACAGGGGCGCTTGCAGAAAGTTTTCAAAGAGGGGGCAGGGGGTTGGATGGGGGTGGCCACTGGGTGGCACACTGAAACGAACAAAAAAAAGTAAACAAGCTGAAATATGTCATCTTTAAAAAATAAAAATTAATAGTTTCTAGATAATTATAATTAGAATTCACTGAAATGTTACTTTTTGCAGCTAATATGACCAGGGCTGGCAAAATGAGCTACATGGAGGAACTTCTTTAAGGCCATTCAGCCCAAATCTGATTTTTCTGCCCATATGTGACTCATATCGGATTTTTTATGACAGTCTGAATCCAACCTAGGTCTTTTCCATATTTGGTACTAAACCAGATGTTTTTCAAAATGGCTGCAGTCTGACCGATCATGTTTCATTTCATGTGGCTTTTATGTCAGAAAAGTAAGGGTTCACAAATTAATCCAAGTATCGAGGATAAAGCTTGGAACTCCACTTAAGCTACAGAACAGCAGTCCAGTTGCTTTTTCTGTTTTCTTTAATTCGTCGATGATGCCAGCGTTAGTGTGGGACAGTATCAATATGAAACGTGATGGTCACGATACTTTAGTTTGTTTCTACCTTCACTATGTCTCCCTATGCCAGAAAGACAATGTTGCTCCAGAGTTGTCACCAAAAGGCAAGATAATGTAATCCCTGGGTGAAACAATCATTTCATCAAATTAAATTGGTTCTGATTGCATAACATTAGCATCAAAACACATATGCTAATGTGTAGAATCCATATTTATTTCTGTAAATGCAGCGTGCTGCGTGTGACACATCTTCTGTGCATGCGGGTCACTTCAAGGCCATATGAGCTCACGCTCGACTCTGATGATGGTTGTATTTAAAATATCTGAACGACCACACACACACAAAATCCTTGTCATATATATATATATATATATATATATATATATAGGTGAGTTATTTTGATGGATTGGCCGATGTCCGATATTTAACTTTATTGCTAATATCGGCGATACCGATACAATGCCGATAATATCGTGCGTCCCTACTTTTAACTGTGCTATATAAATAAATGTGATATGATTAGTCAAGTGGCTGTTTCATTTATAAGAAGGGACAAACTTAAAAACTGAAGTGTAGCCAGCCAACTATGAGGTACTCATACATTCTGCCTTCAACTTCCATGTTTTAGTTCAATCTCTAATTATACTACAACCAAAGGCTACAACCATTTCAGGTTTCAACTCAGTATCTGCTAAATCAACTTAACTGTAGCCATTTTTGTGCCTAAAGTCAATTAGCTGTATCCAAATTGATGTAAGTCCATACTTTCTGAGTGATCCACTAGTTTATTATAAATTTTGCAAAAAGACGAGACTGAATCCAACAGTTAACGCCAAAGTTTAAAACTAAGCTCTCGCAGCACCGGCTAGCAATCAGAATATGTGTTAGAAATGACTCTCAGCTACTACCACATCACTTTTCTGCATCAATTGTTGCTTTGAGGCAGTCCTGCGCTGATTTACATTGAGATATGTTGCTTTAAACTTTATGTCAAATTAAACGCAATTAGATTTTTAATAACCTTGATTTACAGTACATGTATGTGGCAAAATATTCAAAAATCTTGCCATTTTTATTAAGGACAAAAAAAATTCTCTAAAACATCAGCAGCAAACTGAATAGATTTATTATTATTATAATTGTTGGCATAGATAAGCAGTCGATGCTTTCCTTTTTGTTTTACATTTTTGACAAAGGAGTCAAAATCTGAACAGTAAAAAAATAAATCACAAGATTAATCTCAATATTCTATAGACATTATTATAGTGCACAGGATGTTTTCATGGAAAACTTTTTAACAATGAGGTGGAACCACAGCAGATGAGGTACGCAGGTACTCAACATGAACGAGTGCTTAAATACATTTACAGCAATAAATATAACACCAACAGCACAAACCTATATTATTACATCAACCTCCACAGAACACTTCAGATCTAGTAACAGATCATATATTTATATGTATTTATGAGTTTGTCTGCATGCGTTTTCGATCAAAACGTCAGCCCCTCTTTAAATCTAAGCCATGCTTGCAGCTACATTGCTCTGTTTAGACGTTTAAGTCAAACACAAGACATTTACTTTATGCATTTCTTGGAGTGTTACAGCATATTTGGGCATAACTTGTTGATTTTGTGGACCTGCAGACAATAAAAACGCAGACAGATCACATCCCTCAAAATTATAAGGCTAGAAGAGTTGGAGAGTTGAGGATATCGACGGATTCGGCTTTGCTTAAACCACCTTTGAGGCTGTCCAGTCCGTCTGTGAGAGAGTCCAGCTCAGGACACGCAAACGTGAACACGGACAGGTAGCTGCTGCAGGTGGGGGTGGAGGTCACCACGGGAGTGCTGAGGGGCTCCAGGTCGCAGGAGACGGACTTGTACAGGGTCTCCCAGTCCGAGACCCCGAGAGAGCTGCTCAGATCGATGTCGGGCACGGAGCGAGCCGTCTCCATGGGGGTTTTCTCCTCCAAACTGGGTAATATATTGTCTAGTAGCCCCTCTTTAATGTCCAGGGAGGGCTCCAGATCGCAGATGTTGATCTCAGCGCTGGCGCACAGTAAGATGTTGGAGTTCCCGGAGATGGCTGTGGACGGATCACTGGGGATGTCCATGTCCTGGGGTGAGGGAGCCTCCTGGATGCCGTCCTCTGGGAGTCGGTCCTCGCCTGGACTGGCCGGCAGCTCTGGGGAGCCTGTGGAGTCCTGGAAAATGGACTCCATCTCCTCTGACATTTGGCACGCGGGCTTGTGCGTGGCGAGGACGAATTCAAGACGCTCCTTCTCTTTGAGGAGGTTGGCGATTTCCATCTCCAAAGCTGCTTTTTCCTCCTCCAGCTTGTCCGTCTCCTTCAGACAGATCGACATGCGAACATCATCCACACGGGAACAAACCAGGCAGTAAGGTGCGAACGACAGCTGAGGAATGTTTACTTACAGCCTGCAGCGTGTCTGTGAGTTCCCGCCGCCTGTTGCGACACTTTGCTGCAGCCATTTTATTCCTCTCCCTCCGTATCCTCTTTTTCTCTTCCTCCTCTGGCGACAGCTGGGATGTAGGAGAAACATTTCAGTGACGAACCCAACAATCTACATCCATTCAGCCAAAGCATGTTTTGCTGCATTACATCTAAAAATAGATCGCTGTTGCAGACTTGCTGTGACCTGAATTTAAAGTGACTTTCTTTCTAAGAAAAAGCTCACAGCCTCTTAAAAAAAAAAAAAACCCACAATTTCACACAAGCAGTTCTGATTGGCATATGCAAGTTCACATTATTTTGTCCAATTGCAGGTTGGCTTCGTCTGAGCTCACCCACCTGCTCTGTTTTCCCCTTTCTGGCAGCATTTTTCCCCTTGTTCCCTCCCGCTTTGGGTGTTGCCTGGTGAGAGCTTTGCGGCTCATTGGCTTGCTTGCTCAGAGATGGTGAGGCAGATGTGATCATCGTAGGCTGGACCATCCACTGGAAATTTGGGGTGGAGGATATAGCTGTGACTGTTGGAACAAACGGGTTGCCTTCGGGGCTTAAATCTTGGCAAACCTCCTACAAGATGGAAGAAATAAACAATAAATAAATAAATAAATAAAGCCCATATTATAGAGGTTTAATGTGAATCTCATAAAAGCCATCAATAAAACGTATAAATCTGTGATTATAAAAAGAAAACAGACCCTATTTTTATTTCACATGAACATTTCCAGAAATAGCCTCTCTTTAGATCAATACTGGACTTTTTCTTTGTTTGTGACGTCAGCACTGACGCAGGAATGCTGAGGAGTCTCCTGAATGGATTTATTTTTCTCAATGAAGCGCCGCATCGACACGTTCAGACTTCAGACCCGGTCCCAGGACGTCGGAACCACAACAACCCGAGCAGCGCAGTCCAATGTCCTCACAGCAGTCCCTTTCTTGTTTGTTTGTTTGTTTTTCTTGCTTTGGGTCAAAATGCGTCAGAAGGGATGCTTGGAAATGAGCGCATGCAAGTTCATTAACCCCGCACCCCCCACCCAAACACAGGCTGCCGACCCCCCCCCCCCCCCCCCCCAACCCCCCAGGATGAATACATGATCCACAAAGCCATTCATACCTTGCTGCTCTCGGAGGATGGGGAGCTCGCCTCTTCTGTCCCGACAGGAGACACTGTGCGCGAGGAGGAGGAGGAGGAGGGACAGACTGGATCCATGTCAGGCTTGTTTTGATTCATCACGCAGGGGGACATTAAATAAATAAATAGATGTCAACCACAGGTCCTGATGGAGAAATCAAAGCGGACTGTGGCCTTCCACCCGGCAGGCAGCAGCTCGTGTCTCCAGGTAGATACCTGTGACTGGACGGTTAGAATGTAAGCCCCTCCTATCAGGCGCTGATAGAATTTTATGAATGAACCAAGACTGTACCATCTGGGAAGGATAGGGAGGGGGGGTCAGACTGGCAGCCTGACAGGCCTGTTTTCATTTAATCAGCATTGTTTTTTTTTTTTAACAACACATATGTGAGATTACTAATTTATGTGAGCATATCATCAACCAGCTGTGGTTTGTACTCATAAAGGTCAGCTGGGATTACAAGTGAGTCTATTTATAATCCCTCATATGTATTTAGTGGGCGTATTAATTGAATCAAATACGTAATATTGTAAAATGTTAGTTTAAAAGATGATATAAGTGAGATATTATTTTTATTAATCTAATAAAATTAATGTTATTTCTCTAGATCATTACCTCTTGAGCCTTAGACACGCCAATAAATAAATAAAAAATAAACCCTGAGCTGTTAAAATAATATTAAAGTGTTACTAGAAGGTAAAAATGACTGTATTCTCACCCTAATCCACCAATCACATTAAAGCTCCCCCTCCCCTCATTTCTAGGTCCAATCTGAAATCACAGACTGATGGGGGCGGTAAAGTCACGTGGCACGACACGGAAGTGAGGAGGAAGAAGAGGAGAGGCAGCAGCATCCTTCACTCCCATAATAAGGGCTGCGTTCTGGTCTGTGCTGAGAAAAACAGGCATTTCAAGGACATTTTTACTCTGAAACAGAAATCTGCTGTCAGAGATGAAAATATATAAGATTTAAAACCCAAAAGCTATTAGACTGCAGTGCATATGGTTTACTGCATGAGAGTAATAAAAAAAGTCTTCCTAGAACAGGATGATTTTATTTTGTTGAAATGTAGAGTAATAATTATCTGAAGTGTGTCTGTGTGGTGCACAGGTGCAAGTATGGAAAGCATTTTGGGAAACTTTTTATTCAGTTCATAAAACAGTATATTTTAAACAAAGTGGCTTAGCTGGTTTATCTACAGTTGCTTTAATATCTCATTTTATTCATTCATTCAACCTTTATTTATTGCTTTAAAAGAGCTCAATCTGTTTGACAGGTAAGGATTAACCAAAAATATGAGCTTCATAATAAAACAATTGTAGTTTAACAACACTGAAATGTCTTTTCTGAGAGTGTGATTGAAGTTTAGACCAAGTTTCTTTTTTTTTTAACTTGTAAAATCCTACTGAGCTAACAGAATTTTTCTGTTTAATTATATAAATAGGAAAAATGATTTAACACACACTGAAAATAACACAAAGCAGAACAAAGATAAAGAACAGTCAGAAAACCTGGTATATTAAAGACTTTTTTTTTTTTTTTTTGAGTTAGATCGTTTTTGTTCACAATAAAATGCACACATGAATCTAAAAGCACACCTTTTTTTATTTTTTTCCATATAGATCCCATGCTTTGTACATTCTCCGCAGCTTTCTCAGGTTGGGTTTCTGGATATCCTGCTGGGATAAAAATATGTGTTCCCTATCAGATTACAATGTTGTTTAGTTTAATATTTTTCATCTTAGATTAAAGTCAAAGTTAATATGTTATTCTATTTTCCAGTACCTTCTGGTCGTTGTCCAAATGATGGAGGTCTACAAGTGGAACGATGGACGGTCGACCGTGGGCGCACTGGAAAGGCAGCTGGCATGAGGATAAGGACGCCACCAGGCTGCAGCATTCGTCTCTGCTCAGGCCGTCATTGAATTTAATGGCACCTGCTCAGAGCGTATCCATGTTAAGACAGAAAATAGATTTAAGGCTTATCACAGAGAAAACAAACTCGGGGTGTAAAAGATTCATTAATTTTACCGTGGCATGCGAGTGAAGCAAGCACTTTCAGAACAGTGAGAGGCAAAGTTCCTCTCACCCTGCCTGTAGTGCGAAGTAACTGGAACAAAAGGGATTACAAGTCTACATTTATTTTTATTTTAAAAAACACTTTCAGCACGAGGCAGAAAGAAACAACTTATTTACCTCAATTTGCTCTTGAAGATATTCCTAAGGTGAGAATTGACAGAGAATAACGAAACAGAAATAAAAAAATAAACGGACTCAACGAACTTGACTGATGTGTCACCTCAACAATGGGCTTGATGACAGAAGGCCTCCCCCTCCGAAGCTCGTTGCTCTCTTTCTCCATGAAGCAAAGTGGTACCTTCCCAACAAACACAAGTGGAGCTGCTGTTTGTGAGAAAGCAACTTCCAGACCCAAACTCCTCAGATGTGGCCGACAAGATCTGCAGCAAGATGAATGAACAGTAACTGTTAGAAGAGAACGGTCAAAAAATAGGAGACTGAACTTTAACATGAGTTGATAAGTTCAAATTTTAATAGTTATTTGTATGGCATGGGTTAATGTGAACTAGTAAAAATCAACAGGTGGCAAGTGGGGTTAGAAAGGTCAAAGGTGATGGTGATAGTGTCAAACTCTCACACTGTTCTCCTTAAAAATCAGCCTCTTAAATGCCAATTTGTTTAAGATCATTTGTACAAAATGCATTTTTTTATTGTATTACCAAGAACAAACACATTTCATAACTATAACCTTAAGCCATTGATTTATAAAACTGTAAAAAAATAAAATAAAATCTGAAAACACACCTAAGCAGCCTCAGCTCGTCCTCAGTTATGCTGAGCTCCAGAGGTGGTAAAATAGTTGATGAACAGAGACGTCTCTCCCCGAGGACATCCGGGTCATCCTCGTATGAATCTACAACAACACGTCCAGTTTTTCTCACAGGTTTATACAGCGTCTAATTTAGGCCTGTCACGATAACAAATTTTGCTGGGTGATTAATTGTCTCAGAAATTATTGCGATAAACGATAATATTGTTTGAAATTTGACAATAATTACTTATTGTCAAATCAAATAAGAAATGTTGGTTAATTTGTTTTGAGTGTAGTACCTTTTATCGACCACCGGATGGCAGTATAAGACTGTTTGAACCGATGTATGGATAGTGAGGGAGCGAGCAGCGTGTCTCTTTAAGAAAAATGGGAGGGAGGCCCCTTGACATGACATGGGTTGTCTCTCTTTCCTGTTTTTCGGTTCTCAAAATGGCGGACACTGATGTGGTTTGAGCTCTTTAGCATAGCATTTTTCCACACAAAGCTTTTAATTAAAAAAAAATCAATAAACAAGTTCTCAGCTTATTTTTGCAGAGAAAAACAACTTTTTAGACGAAGGCACGGGTTTCAACCGTGAATTTTGGAAATTTGACAAGACAAAGGTTTTTTTCCCCCGAGGTCGGGCTGTTAGCTTAGCTTGTAGCTTAGATGCTTTAAATGATCCAAAAAAACATCATTGTGGACAGTTAAAATGGATTTTAAAGCGAAAGGGAGGGGTCAGTGAAGAGCACCGGAGTTGAGCTTTTTGTCATCCAGTGTCTTCAGCAGAAAGAGAAACATGAAGAAACGATAAAGCCGATAAATGAAAATGAGGTCAATAATTTTCATTTATCATGCGATTAATTGATTTATTGTTTATCGTGACAGGCCTAATTATTATAGTGCTCTGAAGTTTTGTTTTATTATATTTTCTTTACCCGCAACTAAACTTTCCAGTCGAACTCTCTCGTGTGCAGCATGCTGATCCACCAGAACCAAGAGATTTTCTGTAATTTCAGAAAGGAAAAAAAAGGTGAAATGATCAAAGTTACCAGAAAACCCTCAGGTGTCAAAGCATTAATGTGTATCCTACTTTCAGCTTTACTCTGTGCAGCAGATTCGTCATCATTTGTGTTGATAAGGCATGCAAGAAACTTTTTATCCACTTGATGAATAACCTATAAGATAAATACATTATATTTATTTTTTTCAGTCAAACCTGCAAAAGCTAAAAGAATGATTAAGATAAATGTGCCTTCATTGAGTGAATCATGGCCTTAGAGAAGCGATACGGAAAGAGGACATTGTGGATCTTTACAGCAAGTCCATCGGCTTGTCCACTGGAAATATTCAAACCAACCTGATGGCACAGACATATTTATTGTATTTACTTCTAAATCACTATAACAGTTTCAAGGAAAAAGTTCTGCTCACCATAGGAGGCCGAACAAACACAGGATTTTTCCATTTGGAATACAGTGAAGAGAGCGAGTTGGAGCTCTCATCAGCATCATCTGTAAACAGAGAACATGAAGTGAGACCATTTAAGCCAAATCTTTACAAGGCCACTGTGGATTTATCACTCAAATCTGAACAGTTTGGCACAACTGTGGGATACCTCTACAATCAATCGCTGAGCTAATCACTCTTTCTGGTCTGGACTTAGGCAGGAAAGGCAAAACTAAATCCACCTGAAATGGGTAACACCTGTACTCCATCCCTACAGTTCCAAGAACAAGGAGAGGAAGCTAAAACCAGAGATTACACTATCTACATGTGAAAATGATCAATTTAAGAAGGTATATTAGCACATTAATACCAGCTGATAAAAGTCAAAGTAAAGGAACTCACCCATCTCAGAGATGACACTAACTGCCATGTTGGTAACGTCAGACGTGCAGCGCACATGTGTGTCCTCTGCAGCTGGATCCTCATATCTGCTGAGCCCTGTCATTCTGTTGACATAAACCATCTTCCCAACAGATGCATCGTAGTGATGCAGCCAGTCGTTCGACGTTAAATCCTCTTCGTTTCTGTGCGGCTGAGGGTTCGTAATGCAGTCTAATACCGGACCAACATTCACTGCAGGGTCCTGAGGATTCTGATTGTTGTTGCTCTCTTGAAGACAGTCATTATCACTCTCAAGACTCCCTGAACTGTGCTGTGAGACTTCAACATTTTCTGTCCCGTGTTGTTTTAAATGACAAAGTTTTGCTGCTAATGACATTTTACTTTTGTTCTGATCGTTGACAGCTGAGAGGGTTTGTGGGCTTTGGAAGCTAATCTCTTCCTCTCCTGTCTTAACTTGACCCAGTTGTAGATTGTCTTTGCAAACAGATATATGCTTGGGATTCTCATCAAAGCTGCTTATCTGAGAGAGTTGAGCACTTTTCTGTAAATGAGCATGTGAGAGTTTAGTTTCAAAGGATTTAACGTATGCTCGTCTGAACTTATCGAGAGATCCCGGCTCCCCAAACGTGGACAATTTCTGACAAACTAGAACTTTGGGAATCTTTAAAGGGACGGAAAGTTTCTGAGAAGCTCCGTCTTTACCCACTTCCAGTGAGATTTTGCGCTTTGAGAATGCTTTTTCACAGTTTGCTGCCAAACCTTGCTTCTGAAATCCTAGTTTGCTTGTTTCGAGCTGGTCCTGAACCTGAAGACGCTTGTGAATGTATGGGTCAGACAAACTGATCTTTTGTTGACTTACTAAAATTTGTTCACGCCTGCCAGCAGATTCCAGAGACTCTTTGGTACGGTTTAAATCAGGCTGACAGAGGCTGTGCGTGGAATTTACATCAGTGGTTGAAGATATATTATTTAACTGTGAGTCTTTTTCTGTTAAAAGTCTCCATTCTGTTGTATGTGGCATGTGTAAAATTTCTAAATTTTCACCAGCTTCGCTTGAAGTTGGCTCCTCTTCATTAGTAGAAGATACAGACTTTATATCACATTGTGGTGTATTCTTAAACTCATCTGATATCACCTCTTTCTGCTTCAGTTCAGTCTGATCATCCTCCAGGCAAACTGAGTCATCTGTGCGCCTACGATGAACAAATTCAGATGCCAGTTTCATTCCAACACCGCAGTCCAGGGTGGAAGTCCCAACAGATATATGACCAGCTTTGTCACTTTCCTCTTCTTTATCTGTCCCGTCAGTACTAAACACTTTAGAAGATATACAGTCCAAGTCATCTTGAGAAAACAAAGACACCAAGTTCTCCTTCCTCAGAAAAGCTTTGACTGCTTCTTCAACGCACAGCAAAACCCCATCCCACTCTTTGAACTCTATGAGTGTTTTGGCAGGCTCAAGACAAATGTCATACTCTGAGTAAGAGCATTTTATATTGATGATATATACTCCATATTGCTCATGGTTGCGCTTGTATTTTGGACTCTTAGGGACTTCCGGGCTATTGTTTTTCTGGTTTGAACCACTCAGTCTGCGTAGTAGAAAGTTAAGCAGCTTGTGGATCCGTGTTTTCAGCAACAGCCTGTCATTTACATACAGGTACTGTAAACTATTATTGTAGTGTCCCTCTTTGCCAAGATAACCAGTCACTTCAAACTGCTTGTGCGTGTAGTGGACTTCCCCGAGTTTCTCTCCTCGTGCAAGGCCGTGTATCTGAACAAACCTGTGATAGGTGCTCTTGGCTTTGGCAAGCTGCACCATCATGGCCCCTGTGCAGTCATTCTTCAGGGTGAAGGACACAGAGGGGTGCATTAAAGAAACAGCCTCCATTCTTTGTCTGATCCTCTCACCCTCAAGGACACCATCGAGCCGCTTCCTCCGAACTGGCATGTTGTGTAGGAAATTACAAACGATAACAGTTGTCCCTGCAGATGGTCGGACAGTTTCAGCTTCAAACACATCCAAGCCCTTTCCATCCTTGAACAGCTTAACGTGTGTTTTCACTGACAGTCTTGTCCTAGAGGAGATGTCAACAAGCGTGGCTAGAGAAACTATACTCGCCAAGGCTTCTCCTCTAAAACCGTACCATTTCAGGTTGTTCAGGTCTTCAACAGAGCTGCATTTGCTGGTGTGGTATCTGATTCCCACGTGTGCCATGTCCTCAGCAGTCAGCCCTGAGCCGTTGTCGATGACCTGAACTTTAAAGGCCTCCATGTCCATCCTGACTCCCACACAGGTCGCGCCGGCGTCGATGCTGTTCAGGACGAGCTCCTCCACGCACTGCTGCAGCGTGGGGATGGCAACACCAGAGCGAAGTTTCTCCTGAACCTCTGTGGGCAAACACTTAATCATAATGCTCTCTTTTTGGTCCTGTACTGACCTGATATATCAATAAGTTAGTCGGCTTAAAAAAAATGGCAGTTGCTAACTAGCAAAGCCGTGCTAACTGTTTGAGGGAACTAAAACTTTTTAATCTACGCAGTTTATTTACATACAGTAGATTTGAAAACACAAAATTACCTCACTTGTTGTTTACAGTCAACGTGTTAAAAAAAAAGAGGTAACGTTATTCGTTTATTGCTAGTAACTCAAACTGACACTGCCACCCTCTGGTTAGCTTAGATGTAACATGCGACGCCAATCCTCTCAACCAATCACAGTAAAGCGTACCGCTTTCGTCATTAACGCGCGTGGCAAGACGCATTCAGGTGACATGGAAAACTTGGATTTACCAAGAAAATGTTTCGACGCATAATCCTTGTAAAACTATCACTTTTGAGTTTTATAGAAAAATATTAAACAATGGATTTTGTTTTTATAAAAACTAAAAGTACTGTTTTATAACTATGTTTTACTGTAATGTGCATTGCTGAAGGATGACCCAATTTATTTATTTTTTTTTAAATCTGTATGCCTTTTTATAACTGTCTATTGTTGTCGCTGTTGTCCATTGTCGTCATCATTCTTTGTTGAAATTAGGTCTCTCTTGTAAATGAGTCCTCGAGGATCAATGGGATTTACCTGTCTAAATAAAGGTTGAATGAATTAAGAATCTGTCATAATGTCCCTGGTTTCCAAACGCACCATTCTCAACAACATCATCGGCTGGAAAAGAGCTTTTGCAGGAATGTTCCCTTTAACATATTGTTTGATCTGGAGACAGTGGCATTGACCAAAAGACATGAGAAAGAACTGGAAGTGTCAGAAATGAAGATGCTGAGGTTCTCCTTAGGAGTGACAAGGATGGATAACATCCTGATGCATGCTCAATAATCCAGGTAGAAAAATCTAAAAAAAAAATAAAAAGTTAAATCTGGTCCTTTGGACATTCAAAACAAAAAAATTGTAGAAACGTTTCGTCTATCATCTGAAAGACTTCTTCAGTCTGAGGTGCTGTATTCAGCTCAGTCTTATAAATAGTACCTTCTCGTAGTGGATCAACCAGTTTGCTACTGACAGCCAAAACCATCTGTCACATGATCAAGGAGGACCATCAACCTAAGGATGGATGGATAAGATTAGGAAGTCCTTCCTCACTGTGGCTATCAAACCTTTCAACTCCTCCCCCTTTGTGCACATAGGACAATACAATTAATCCTGCATCACAATAAACACTTTAATGTTTTCACATTAAAACATTTCAAACATGTACTGTATGCACCTGACCTGTTTAGAACTTAATTGTTGGTATTTTTATATTCTGTTATTTTCTATATCTCGTGTGATGTGAAATCTTGTGCATGTTCCTTTGTACTGAAACTCTGGCACAACAATTTCCTGCGGGATCAATAAAGTTCTGTTAGGAATGAGATAATCAGAGGTACAGCACAGGTTGAACAACTGGGAGATAAAGTTAGAGAGGCCAGACTGAGATGGTTTGGACATGTCCAGAGGAGGGACAGTGGATATATTGGTAGAAGGATGTTAGAAATGCAGCTGCCAGGAAAAAGACAAAGAGAACATATATGGATGCAGTTAGAGAGGACATGGAGGTAGTTGGAGTGAGGACAGAGGATGCAGAGGACAGAGTGAGATGGAGGATGACTTGCTGTAGCGAACCCTGAAGAGGGAAAAGCCGAAAGAAGTTCTTTAGCATTTCAACAGAAAACGTCTTCTGCTTTAATAAGCACCACAATTCAGTACAAAAGTTTTATTATTTTAATTAAATGAATGCCTCATTGCAGCTTAATCAAATATGAAAGCCTATCTTGGCATGTGTCATCCAGTCTTTAAAAAGGCTTAAGAGAAAAGCACAAGCATTGATTTGAAGGTTTGTAAGCTCAATCATCCAGGTAGATAACAAGAAAAATGGTTAAATCATGTCATCTGGACCTGTTTCTTTAAGTGAAGACACATGTCGTCCCCCATCCAGAGGACGTCGTCAGTCTGCGGCCTGCCAACCAGATCTGTCCCATAGGTAGCCTTCATTGCTGTGTTTCAAGCCAAACTCCTGCTGGAATCTCAGAAGCAGGAGCAGAAACATGCAAACAGAGCACACCCATCCAAAACTATCAGTCATCATTAACAGCAATCAAATGATTTAACCATTTTTGTTATTGATTTGTTGGTTAAAAAGAATTGGCAGTGTTGCATTGAAACTGAATGTATAAAAAAGCTTTAAAAAATGGCACTACTATCACTACTACTTTTCCCTATCAGAAGGCAAACTTTGAATCAAGACACTTTCTGTAATTATTTGTTCATTTTCCTATCTGTGTTGACTAAAATAACCTCAAAGTATTTCTTTGCTGCATTCACCGTATATTAGAATACTGTACAACTCAAACAACATGAAGCGTATTGATGGGTTTTTAAATTTATTAATGTAATATGGTTTGAGGTTCAAACAGACATTACATTGATTTGAACTTACAGTAGTTTTGCTGTTAATGAAACTAAATAAATAAAAGTTTAAATATTAATATTACAAGTACAACATGTCATTTCAATGGACAACTTTAAAAGAAGAGTGCTCTAGGTTGCCAATTGCTTTCTCGTTCTCAAACTCGGCCTTGGTGATGCGTGACTTGGGGCTCCCAGTCGATTTCAGCCATTCTTGCATTTGTTGCACTTTGCTCCGTGGACCTTGTAGCTGGCCCTGGACTGTTCCTGCTGGTGTGTTTCGAACCCAACCAACCAGGCCAAGCTTCTTCCCTTCAGCCTAAAAAAAAAATGAAAGTGGCTTTACTTAAAGAAAGTATGGCAGATGATGCAAGAACAGGTGTTGAGGAATAGCAGGCTTATTTGTTAAAGTTTACAACTTGTGGTATTGATTAAAAATCCTCCCATACCGTTTCCATTAATTAAGGTTAGGTGAGGTATATTTTTCATTCAACCTTTATTTAAACAGGTTAGTCCCATTGAGCCACGAGGACTCATTTACAAGAGAGACCTGAATTTTAACAGAGTGGTGACAGTGGACGACAACAATACTATCACAAAGGATGCATGCAGGTCTAAACAGAGATGTTTTTATTACTTTTTTCACTCACTTGAGTGTATTTTCGAAAAAATACACCTTGCACTCTGCCAAAAATTTCATAATCCACAGAAATGAGATCTTCACTGGACATAACGGACCTAAAGGAAGAAACAAAACAGCAGCCCTCGATCACTGCAGCTAGAGCTACAACGAGCTAATGCTAACAAGAGTACTTTATTTTTTATAATTAGCTGCTTATTTTTAGTTTATTACTGAAAAAATAGACAAAGACTCATCTTCAGTAAATCACCTTAAGATGGTCGGAAGCAGTAACGCGACCAAACAACCCCGAAAGACCTCGATTTTTGAAAACATACGGGACTCTATTGCCGGAAGTGACATAAATATATTAGACCAATCAGAAAACAGACACGGTTTCTAGGCAACAGATGTAAACAGAAAAGACTCCTAGTGCTAGGGTGCGACAACACGCCAAAAAAACAAATTATCTCAGTTTATTATGGACTTTTAGCTGAATTATTGTATAACTGATTGAGGGCTTTTATTGGTAAGTATTATAGCTTATACACACGGCTTTCATAAACTTATTTCTATTATTTAGATAAATAACAATCCTTTAACAATTTTGTTTTATTTTCAGTATGGTTTTGAGATTTTTATTTCAGTAACTTATTAATAGCATTGCCTTATTTTGAATTGCACTTTCGATTTGGTCAGCACAACACAGAGCTGTTTTATTTACTCAAATGCCTTGACAGAAATAAATATTCACGTGAAATTAAATTTCCCAATTTGTCTTGGAACCTAACAAATTTATTTATTTTCTTTTTGACCTTATAGGAAATTGTTATAAGCAAGAGAGTAAGACTCATAAAAAGATATTAAACAGTGACAAACTTGCACATGCATACTGAAGAAAACATGATTCTGTGAGGCAATACGACACTGCAGGAAGAATGCATGGACATGTTCATGCTTATGCACAAAGTGGTGTGTCTATTGAGAAAGCAGAAGAAATAGACTGGCCATTTCCAACCAAGCCTGTGAGCCACAAGAGACTCCGAAGGACACAAGACCCATTTCGTTTGCAGGATTTTGAGAAAACCACTCTGTCAACACAGCAAAGAAACCATTTGACGCCACAACTAGAGTATCATTCAGATGTGATTAGAGAGACTCCTAGATCTTTCCATTCACAACGATACTCACAAAACATACTGAGTGAAGAGCTGCAGATGACAACAGCAATTCAGGTGAAAGAGCTACTTCTAAAGGAGAAGCTCTGCAGGGTCGGAGAAAAAAGAAGACAAACCATTCAAAGCGGTAGTCCTGCTATTGCAGCAGATTATGAATTTAAGAATGGAAAGAAGGTGCAATACAATGGACAGGATGAATGGAGAGTTCCCACAAAAAGCAGGATATCTGAGTGTCAGAGGAGAGAGCCACTGAGAAGAAGGGATATGCTGGATGATGAAAGCCTGCATGCAGATTTAATGCAACTGAGAATAAAACAAGATCCGAGGACTGAAGACAGAATAAATAAAATAGATAAGCAGCAGGCCAGGCGAGATGCTAGTGAACACAAAACAAGTAAAGAGCAAAATAAATCAAGATCGGAGAAACTGAACGAGCTTTTTAGAAGAAAAAGGGGAGACGATACAGATTATGGCAGTTGGAAAGAAACTGGTGCAAGAAACGGGGAAATAATGACGCCTCTGTGGGAAAGGTAACTTGGACAAAAGGAAATAAATACAAAGAAACACAAAAGGACACTGGTGGCTCAGAAATTAAACAAAACATGTCTCAGAAAAGTCTGCACAGACTGGCAACACTAAACCAAAGAAGCACATGGGAAGGTCAGCCTAACGAGTCAACTCTCCCACCAATTTCTGATTCTTTGCATCGAAGTCAGCGGCAGCAGGCAAAGCTCAGGTTCACTGATACTGAAGGTGGCAGCTTCTTCCCTGTGAATTCTGCAAGAGAACGTTTCAAACTGAACGCCTGGAGAAACACGTCACGATCTGTGCAAAGTTAAATCTAAAGCGGCGGCGTCAAGTCTTCAACTCGTCTGCCCAGAGGCGCAAAGGACGGAGTGCTTGAGTACTTCAAAACCCACAACAGAACAACACTTCAGAGGTAAGCTGTTGAAACTTTACTGACTTCTTAAAAATACAACCAAAATTTACAATAGTGTGATTTTAAAAATATTCTGTTTGTGTCCAGGTTTAAAAGAGAAAGACAAGGAAAAACCACTAAAGAAACTTGATTTGTATCCGGATTGAAAGCTTGTTGGCAGCAAACGGTCAAATTAATCCAAGTGAGAAACTGTTCAACAATCCTGACACCAAGTCACTGCCTTGTTTTTTTGTTAATATCTCAATTATTTTATTGAACCTGTCAAGTATTGTTTAAACAGATCAGCTGTCTGTTAATGCCACTGTTCAGGCACATTTCTTTGTTTTACAGAACTAAACAAAAATGTACATAATTTTCTTCATAAACTGTGGATTAGACAATACAACAGACTTGTTTTTATTTTTAAGTAATAAGAGTGACCATGAGCTGAAAACAGAAGCAGTACAAATGAATAAAACAAGTGAAATAAAGACATTTAAAATAAGGCACAATATCGCAGTACAATGCTGCAGTTTGCTGCATAAATGTACTGCCAGTGTTACACTGCACACAGCTTTATATTTTATGCATACTTATAGAAAGTGTACTGGTGAAAAGATTCAGAACACCACTATTTGCCCTTAGTTTTGCCAAAGGGTAAGAGGTAAAGTGCTCAAAATACACACAAACAAAGAAAAAACATAAAAGTTTCAAGGAAAAGCCTTTTCATGCATCAAGAAAACGCATTTACTGTGGCAACAGATGTAAATTCTTTAAAACCTACTGCAGATTATTCTTACCAGCGGTCCAACTTGAGCTAATTCCACATCTTCTTATAAATTATTAAGACAATACTGTACTGAGAAAGGTGGTGATGTCTGTTGTTGAAATGGTGAGGAAATACATAAAGAAAAAAAAGGACAGGTTGGTCATCTAACAGCAAAATTAAAAAAACACCTAAAACGTTACAAGAACAGCACAGTGGATTTTACATTCGGTTTCTGCAACCAGATAAAAATCATTTGAAGATTGGTGTGTCTGTACTTTAAACATGCAATAAACAAACAGGCCTCACACAAATCGAATGAAAACCACCGACAAAATGTTTTGCTTTGAGGAAAAAAAAAAAAAAAAAAAAAACTACATTGAAACAGAGAATGTTTCAGGATGTTCAAATACAGAAATAGTTGCTTAAAAAGAGAAGAAACGAGAAAAGTTAAGAAAATATTGAAGGTCTATTATAAATGCTATAATCACCTGATATAACCATCTTGTAAAAACTGTTAAAGTGTGTTCATAACAAGGTAAACACATGAACATGTGCTGCATTAAAGAATTTACGAGATAAAAAAAAAGTTACTTATTTCAAAATAAATCAGTAGTTTTGTGTTTCACACATTTTTCCCCATAAAATAAAGCATGCAAATTGGAAAAAATATATCTATTTTCATAAAACCAATGGAGCTGTCATATGTTTCATGTTGCGTATGACACTTAATAATATTGAATGCAATAAACAGAGGTGACGTATAAAGAAGTGTTCACATTGATGTTGCAAACATGCCAGCAGCTCACCTAATATCATCAGGAGACATCAGGAAACAGCCAGTTTGCATGAGCTTGTTTTGACTCTTGCGTGATAAATACTAACATGTGAGACATTGGGGACGTAGACTCGATGCTGAAACCACTAAACCTCGACGCACTACGCTGCAGCTTATTACTGGTCAGATTGTGTCCTGCTGATTTTAAGGTCTGGTGATTCGTGCTGAATCCAGCCAACGGTTCAGTCCACAGAAGCTAGTAGGAACCGAGTGTGATGCATGTCACATATGCAATAGCGAGTAACCGTAGGACTTAGCACTCTTGACCAGGAAATCTCAGGAGTTTTGGTTTCACGCACTGGCTCCTGCAGATCTGCCTCCGTGATTCGTCAGTCGTCTTTCACCTCCTCCGTTGCTTGGCACAGAGTGATGATTTCTGTTACCGTCACGCCCTGCTTCTTGCTGTGCTGAACGATTAATGGCTGCCCAGAGCCTTTCGTTCTCCTTCTGCTGCTCACCGACCTGAAGACGAGGAAATAAACAAAACATGATGCCTGCTGCGCAACAACTCTGAACGATATAGTATCTGTTCTGAGGTAGATGAAACGCAGGGGTCGACGTAACTGGTTTCCATTTATCCGAGACGACCGATTTTCGTCTCAGACAAGCAGATCTTGCTTCGGGGTTGTCCAGTGAACAACCCACTGAAATACACACAGATTAAAGTTCTCAGTCGCCGTGACAGATTTCCATCATTTTAATTTAAATGTCTGTAAAGAAAGAAAAATACGTTTCGTCGAGGTCTTTTTAAAGCCATCCAATATAATGACGATACAGGAATTAAACTGACGCTGTTCGCAACCAGTAAAGAGAACCAGAGAAACAATTTGGCCCAATCAGAGCAGAGCGGTGCGGGTCATGTTGTCTGATACACAGCAGGTGTGGACAGTGTTCCTAGCTCAGAGACACACTGCAGGTGAGAGCACCAATCAGTGTTTCCTGGACTATTTTCCAAGGACACCCCACCATCCTAACTAAAGGTGATGACGTAATCAATTATTAAACAGAAGTGTTTGCATGTAGCCAATCCACTGCAGTCAGGGGAGATAGAACTGAAACACTGTTACCCTCACCCCTTCCTCCCACACCAGGGACCCAGGGACACTTGAGCATGTGACTGCTGGTGGAATCGAACCCCCAACTCTTGCATTAGAGGACGACTGCTCTAACCAATCAGCCAGAGCCACCTCGTAATTAAATTAATCACAATAATTAAATATTAACACTAAAAACCCAATATTTATATGCCCCCAGATTAAAGCATAGATGTCTCTGTTTCTCTGTGAGAGTCACTTTCAGGTGTTTGTAGTTTATCATAAACATCTGCTCAATTAAATTCTGTTTTACTAACGAGGTGTGGCTGTTTGGATGAGCTAAACATTATTACTTTTAGGAGCCATACTGAGAGGTAATTAAACTGTGATAAATACAATTTAATAAATGATCAAATATGAAAAATAAATAGCATTAAATTACTACATGGGCTGAAATACTGTAAATATAATGCCTTTGAATGAAAAAGTCATTTTAGGGGAGAAATCTGTCTGACAAAAAAAAAAAAAAAAGTTAATTTATACTCTGATAAAGGAATTCCTGTGCTATATTTTTCAAAATACATCTGAGAAACCCTCAAATAAAAACACTGAAATAAAGTAACTTAAAAAAGTTGTTTTAAATCCCTCTCTTCCTTCAGAATAATGATGGTCTTGATGGTGCAGGTTGAAGTCTTACAACTTCAACGCTTCATTAGAGAACATACCTCTGTGTACTTTTACTAAGGACATGTACACAGTATACTGTGTACTTTTACTAACTTACTGGAAAATTTCCTTACGTCAACCCCTGAATCGTGAAGAGACAAATAAAAGACGTCACCTGCTTTTCAAGCAGCTCGATCCTCTGCTCTTGACGGGTGACCGTTTCTCTCAGCTGCAAAATTATCCAAATTGTCACACATACGCTGGAGAGTACTTATATCATGAATTGCTCTTCCGCGTGAATGCACGTGTTACCTGAGCCACTTCGATACTTGCACCGCAGCACGCACCGGACTCTTCTTTTTTAAAGACGTCGTCATCCAACCCACTGACTTTCTCAAAGCTCATTTGCCTAGTCTGCTGAAATAAGCAACAACGGGGATGTAAGATGAGTATTAGCCCACAGTACGCAGAGCAGAATAGTGAAAAAGTTTTTTTTTTGGAAAGCATGACTCCCTGTCAAGAAAATAGGAACTGCGTTACCGATAGGCCTTTCTGACTGCTGACTGCTTCAGCCGCTGCCTTGAGCTCTTTCAGCTCCTCGTATGGCCGAGTGACGCTCTCGGAGAACGAGGAGAGCCGATCATGGATGGGTTGATCCGACTCCTCCGGCATCGGGATGAACTCTGCGTCCTCCAGCTCCTGTTGGACAAAGACCTCTGAATTAGAGCTAAATTCAGGGAACGCCTCTCGTGCAAACAAGCGTTTTCTGCCTTCTTAGTGCTTTCATCTTCACAAACCTTTTTAAGCCACAGAGGACAAGAACTGTTCCCGGTCTGATTTCCAAATGACATCATCGATGTCTCCACGACCCCTTCCTCTGTGTTAATCTCCCGCGTACCTCCAAGATTCCCATTGCGAGAGTCCGTCTCCAATCCAGGCTCTAGGTTAAGTTCCACCGTGGACGCAGACACCTCTTGGCCAAGCCCTTTACACAAAAATATAGAGTTTAAGTGACGCAGGAAAATCAACGCTCAAATCTGTGAATAAAAATCATTTAGCTCTACCGATTGATAGTCCACTGCTGTTTGAGCGGATGGTTTTTGAGTTGAGCACTTTTTCTACAAAGAAAATAAATAAATTAGTTGGAAGTTTTGTTATTTAATACACCAGTGTTTGTAAGAGGTTTCTGATGACTGACCCATTATGATAATGGTGTGCCAGCCACGGCAAGAGAGGTCAGGCACATGGTGGAGGGAACCGAATATGGGTCTTGGCATGGCAGGGCAAACCTCTGAGCCGAATCTTTTATCTGCAGGCATTCCAAGTCTCCCGTTTCCTGCGTTTCCCCATGCAAAGATATGATTGTCTGCAAAAATAAAAAAATAAAAAAACGAGTCTGAAATACCTGCTGGAGCACAAGACTAAAGCAGGGCGCCATGAACCTTGAAGCAGAATCTTAATCAATGCATTGTTGCTTCAGGTGTCTCACCCTCAGAGGCTGCAATGGTGAATCCATCTCCACAAGACACTTTAGTCACCGTCTTCCCTCCTAATGATCCAACAAGAACTTGAACACCTTGGTGCCTCTTGAAGTCCTTCACACCCAGCTGCCCATACTTGTTGCAGCCGAATGTGATTAGACGCCCTCGTTCTGCAAAGCCAGAATTCACGTTTAATAAAAACCACAAGTCTAAAATGAATAAAATCTACATACAAGATATAAAACCGCTCCTATTTTCTGTACCATCAATGGCAGCTGTGTGAGTCTTCCCTGGAGCTATGACTTGGATCTTGAAGCGTGCCAGCTGTTTTACCAAGGTCAGCGTGGTGATGTATGGTATACCCTGGTAACCCTGTTCATTGTTTAAAAAAAAACAGAAAGAAGCATCACAAACAATAACTGGCTCATGTCAAGTCTCCCCCGTCAGACTTCTACAGCCGCTCAGTGACCAAGAAAGCCACCCTGATCACCAAGGACTCCTCACATCCACCACACAACTGCTTCCATCAAACAGGTGTTACAGAGTCCTGCTGGCCAGGAAGAATATTTATAAGAAATCCTTTGTACCACCTGAAAAAATGTTCTTAAACAAAGCTAAGTTTAACGGTGGTAACTAACGGCAATAATGTGGCTTTCATTATGTTCCATTGTTGGTTCTTGTGTGTGTATGATGAATGCAGAGCATGTCAAATGAGAATTGCTGCCACAGTTGTGGTAGACAATAAAGTTTCATCTTATCTAAACACAGCTGCATCACCTTAAACTTGTTAATACAGTGCTGTAAATGCAGGTCTGTACCTCTCCAGGATGGTTTTTGATGCCAGAGAATCCCTGGTTCAACCCTAGCTTATTGAATTCATTGTTTCCACACGCCAAGACTTTGCCGCTCTCCGTCAGGAAGAAAGTCCCATCGCAGCCGCACGACACAGAGGAGATGGCGGCACCTCTAGGAATTGTCACCTAAAGAAAAAATAAAAATACAACAGAAATGGAGATGTGATCTCATTGGGGGTGGATTTAGAAACACGTCAAGTTTGACAGAGAGGTGAGTCTTACTTGCATTGGAGATGAGAAGTCATCCTCACACTCCAGGCCGAGACGTCCTGCGGCAGGAAAACGAGAGACTTGTAAAATCGCAACTAAAAAGCTCAAATATCCTGATGCATGCTCAATAATCCAGGTAGAAAAATCTAAAAAAAAAAGTAAAATCTGGTCCTCTGGACATTCAAAAAAACAAAACAAAAAAAATTGTAGAAATGTTTCGTCTTTCATCGGAAAGACTTCCTCAGTCTGAGGTGCTGTATTCAGCTCAGTAAAAAGATCAAATTAATCAAGACAATTAACTAACAAACATCATAGCCTTTGTCTCCCCCTGGTGGCTGCAATTTTTATAGCAGAAACAATAAGGCAGACTCAACAAAGTCCATGCTCAATAATCCAGGTATACAATCCAACAATTTTCAGTCAGGTCATCTGAACAGTTTCTTTTTTTTTTTTTTTGCTGAAACATTTCACCTTCCATCCAGAAGGCTTCATCAGTCAAATAAACACACAACACAAAACTGATTCTTCCCCCCAACAGCTTACTCCAAAATGGAACAGTAAGATGTTGGGGGAGGAATCAGCTTTGTGTTGTGTTTTCTTGACTGATGAAGCCTTCTGGATGGATGATGAAACATTTCAGCACAAAAAAAAAAACTGTCCAGATGACCTGACTGAAAACTGTTGAATAAGGCAGACTCCATCCAGCAAACCTACTTACCATATTCTCCACAGCCCCAAGAGTAAATGCTGCCATCCTGAGTCAGCACCACGACGTGGTTGTCTCCGCAGGAAACCTGGTGGACACGCCGCTCCTCAAAAAACTCTAGAAACACTGGCTCCAAAATCTCAGAGCCCATTTCGCCCTCAACTCCGATGCAGCCGTAATAGTCTGACCCAAACATGTAGAGCTGGTCTTCATCTATGAATGAAGCCAAAAAAAATTACAAAAAGGTTAACATTTACAGATACAGCAGTTACCGTAGATAACCTACCAGTCACGCAGGCAGTGAAGTCAGCCCCACATGCCACCTGACGTATGGCCTTCCCCTGAAGCTTCTCCACCCTCTTCGGCTGACGGTAAGAGGCCTGGTCCCCGTGCCCCAGCTGGCCCACCATCTTGGCCCCACCTTGCACATTCTAAAAAAAACAAACAAACAAAAAAAAAGTTGCTTACAGTGCAGCACGAGACAAAACAAGATCTTTAAACTTCAAGAAAGTGAAGAACCAATCCTTACAGCCCAGGTAAACAGCTCTTTTTCCACCGTCACCACTGCAAAGTGACTCTCTCCTGCACACACATGTTGAGCGCTGCTGCCTCCTTTGAACGAGTCGAGCTTCTGCGGGGTAAATTTTCCTCCTCCCCAAAAGTACACGTCCCTCGAACGTGTAGTCACCACAGCAACAGGAGTCTCCGTCACCGTGCTCAGCCTTTAGTAGCGATGCAACAACAAATCAGTGACATAAACAAAGACGACGCGCAGGCTTTGAAGGACGTGAACTTACTTTGGCCTCTTCATCGCCAAATTAAGCAGGACAACTTGCTCCTCAAAATCCCTGTTATAAAGTCAAGTACTTGTCATTTCTACTAGCAGAAGCTTTTATTCAAACATGATTAAAAAATAAATAAATCTTACCGTCGGCAGCACGAAATAAACGGCTGATCCAGAATCTCCTCAGCTGTTGGTCTCTCTGCAGGATCCTGCGACACAAAGACCACATCAACATCCTGAAGGCTTGTTTGCTCAATAGTAACACCATCATCTGTAGAAAAGGATGCTCACTTGATTGAGACAATCATACACCAACTTGATCAATCCACTGGAGTAAACATCCGAGTTCACTTCCATAGTCCAGTTTCCTTGGACTATTTTCACACAGAGGTTTAGACGATTCTGTTTAAATATAATAAGAAATTATAGTTTATGACCGATGCAAAATAAACTATATAACAAATCACTTTAAAGCAATTAAACCCACCCACCGTTGCATCAAAGGCTCGTTTGAGGGCTAACATTTCAAAAAGTACACAACCCATGGCCCAAATGTCTGATTTGAAGTTATACTTGTCACCCTGACACAGTTCAGGCGACATGTAATATGGAGTTCCTACACACTGAACACAACAGGGAGAGAGAAAAGGGGTAAAACAAAAACATTTGACTGCGGTTGCTTTGACAGCGTGACGCGTTAAAGCACGAAGACACAGAACAAGCCTTCAAACAACACACCCCTTGAAAACGCCATCTTTGAAAATACGGACGAACTTACGGTCTCTGCCATCGAAAACTCGGAGCCTAGCTTCTTGGCGAGGCCGTAGTCACCCAGCTTAATGAGGTTGGTCTTGGTGAGGAAAATGTTCATAGTTTTTATGTCTCTAAAAGAAAAACAAACCACATATTCACAAAAAGTCCAACTATTTGTCATTTGCTGTGCTTAACAAGTAACCTGCCAGATTCTTTCAACAAGTGGCCAAACATCTTACCTGTGTATGACTCCAGCCTTGTGAATATAGGCCACTGCTGAGGTGATTTGATACAGGTACCAAATAACAATCTGCAGAAACATTTAAAAGATTAAAAACAAAATTACGTTTTAAATAAAATGCCCTAAAATGAGGCACATACCTCCTGAGGGAAAAGTTTCCCCCTCTGCTGAACAATTTTGTCGTACAGATTTCCTCCTGCGATGACAAATCTATTTAGATTTTCTTTCCGGATGAGCAGCGCAGACACTTAAAAGTGCGTTTCTTACCATTGCAGTACTCCAACTCAATGAGCAGAGTGTTTTTATCCATGAAGTGGTTGAAGTAGGCTATGATGTTGTTGTGCTCCAGCATGGAGAGGATGCTAATTTCATTCATGACATCCCGGTGCTCCTTTTCTGAGAGCGAGTTCAGGTCCACTTCCTTCCACACAACCAGAGAGTTGTCCTGGGCAAAATACAAATAAATAGTTAGAAGCTCGGCTTTAGGTCCTAACCCTAAACTGGAGACAAAGCAGTCGACGTGAGGCACAGAAAAGAAAGTGTAAAGTGTTCTTTAAGTCACGATTTTTTTAAAAATATCAAACAAGATGTAGACATTGAAATGTAGACACAGTGCCAGTGTTTTTTAAATGTTGCAGGTTTTTTTTTAATGGTTTCTGCATTTTATGATTCGTTTTATTGTTTGCGATTTATGTAACTTTTATGATGTTCGATATTCACTTTTTTCCATGTCCCTCTTACAAATGAAATCTTGATCTCAAGATGGATTTCATCTTGTTAGAATGAACTTAAACACTTACTTTTAGGCCACACGAGTCCATTTTTAGCCTAAGTTTCTGTTCAACCCCAAAATACTCACCTACAATAAATGAGGTTTTTAAAAAATGACAAATACTGAGCAATTATTTGATCAATCTCTAGTAAATAATAATAATAATAAAGACAAACAAGCAAAATGATTCAATGAATGACCCTCAGGGCAAAAGTATGGCGATAAAAAAAAATAAAAAATAGCACCATGTCACAACAGAAGTCATCTCATGGCACTGAACAGAAACATTCCTATATAAAAATAATAATTTAACACCACTTATCTGAGCAGACTGCTTTGAGTTTAACTCCATCACAGAAATCTCATCTTGAGCAAGCATGAAGGCGACAGTGGAAAGGAAAAACTCACGAGGACGAAGCGGCCATCAGTGACGAATTGGACTTGAATAATTTGTATTTGTGTGTTTTTTAAAAGTGTGGGTGGTCAGGAGCATGGTGTTGTAGGATGATATATCCCAAATGCCAACAGTGGAACATCTAAATATGTGATATGAATAACTAAAACTTGTTTCTGTGCTAGAAAGCAGATCTAAATGTATATTTTTATTGGTCTTAAAAGGCTCATTTTGTTAGGTGTGGAGCCAGTTATAATAAAGTTACAAAGTAAATAATAATCCTGTGTATAAATCTGTTTGTAAAAGGTGTCTGTGACAGTCAACTTACTTCTGTTCTTCTGTACAGAGTGGCTTCACCAAACGCGCCTCTCCCCAGCACCCTGATGGGAATGTAATGCAGCTTCTCCTCCTCGCTGTTGAACGAGCCTGAAGCTGATCGCTCGCTGACGGGCCCGCCGCCCAAATCAGAATTCAGCGAGTCGAAATGTCTCTCGTAGTCCTCCAGGGACATTTTCTGCTCGCGGGGTTGTTCGCCACAGGCGGGCAGGGATGCAAACAACTCGAGAAGGCCTAACTTGAACGACAAGACTTTCCGAAGTCGTCACATAAACCCGCGCGCGCGTCTAGCATGGTACCTCAAAGCCAGAGCCGCTCAAGTAAAACTACGACCTCCGAGCGACATGTAAACGTAGAAAACCCGAAATACAGCTCGTAGCAAAAGCAAAATAGCGCAACTGCACTGGTTACGCAAACGTCAAGTAGCAGACATTGACGTGACGACGCTTTGCTAACTTTTCTTTTGATTTTTCAAAACAAAAGCTTCGAGCTCAAACGTGTTTCCGGTGTGTTTTACGGCGAAAAGAAGCAGAGCGCATTTCCGGTGCCATTTCCTGTTCGTTCCGGTGGGTGGCTTGAGTTAGCTAAATAGTTAGCGACACGAAAAAACTCCACCTGACGTACAATTTCTTAAGTTTGTGGTCATTGTTTCTTTGCTTTAATGGTTTTTTACAGATCTGCATTTCAGGCACAAAGGTTCAAAGTGTTTTTAAATGAGTTTCGCTAGATACGGAGCAACAAACGATGAGAACTACTCCATCAGTTCCCCTGAACCCACATCCGGAAACTGCCACACAGTCTTAATTAGCATCGAATAAGGTGTAGCATCGGTGTTAGTGTTTTATAAACAGGTACATTATTTATTTAAGATAATTTAAGATGTCTGGAAGTTCCACAATACCCCTGAAAACCTGAAATAAATATTTAGCTGTGAATTATTTAGGGCTTAAAATGAAGCATACTCTGGTCTTGGTGGTGAGACCTGCAGTGTTTACTTTAAAATCAACCACAACTGAATATTTTTCAAAACGACTCATTCATTTAATCAATAAAATACGTGAATCAGCTTTTATACAAAAGAAGCTCTTTAATACTTGATGCTTTATAAATGATGGAAAGCACATTTTATAATAAGTGACATTTAGCTCTGCTTCAAATGTATTGAGTTGTTTTAACCATAAAGACAAAAACATCAAATTAATGTCTGTTCTTCTTTAGCTCTGAAAACAACTACTTGTCTTTTTTTAATAAAACAAATCTATAAAACACAATTTTTTTGTTTTGTTTTGTTAAGACACTTTTAAAGCACTAAAACAGACTAATTGTCTGGTTAGATAAAATCTTGCATTGGCCATAAACCTCATTTTGTTGCTTTTTATAAAATGAGTGGCAGCACATACTGTAGATGATAACTAAAAGAGGCACCAGATGACAGCTTGTGAAACTGTTCCACAGGTGGGTCATAACGTAGCTGCAAAACAAAACCCTTAAAGAAAGAAAGACCTTAATTGGTTTAGACCAGGGGTTCTCAAACTGTTTGGATTCAGGGACCCCTTGGAAAAAGTTTCAGGGGACCCCCCTCATAACCCTCATGTTTATTAAATAATGTTCTTCAATTTGTCTCGTTAATGCAATGAAAATATTTGTGTCACTTCTTATAAGACCTGTCTTTTAATAGTGTTAATACAATTTTTATACTTTTAAACATGGGGTATTTTTCATTCAAGACACAATTAACAAAAAAATAATAATTCCAACTTCCAAAAATTACAATTTTGAGAAAATGAACAGCATCAAAAACCACTTTACAACTTTACATATTCACATAATGAACATAAATGTATTGGTACTTCTTCAGAGTATTACAGAAAACTATTTACACAAAATTGAACAGAATCATAAGAGCAGCAGTCATACCAAGGAACAAGACTTAATTTGTAAATCGAGCGATGCCGAAACTTAAAAAGTGGAATGGGTTTAGCGGGTCTGTCTGGGGGTCCTCCCCTGGAAAAATATGAATAAAGTAGATGTGATTTCCTGCATTTTGGTGTATTTTAATGAGTTGTTAAGCATCTATGTGCTTGTAAATCAAAAAACAAAACACACACGTTTTTTTTTTTTGTGGGGGGTGGATCCCCAAGCACTTGCTCGCAGACCCCCGGGGGTCCAGGGACCCTAGTTTTAGGGCCTCAGGTTTAGAGCATTTGATGAAATGTTTCATCTACACCTGACTCAAACACAGACATAAAGAGTTTTGTATCGACTCACCTACATCACAATCGTAACTAGTTTAACCTCAACGTGACCCTTACCCAAGGTATGCCAATTAAACTAAATCATATTTTTATTTTTATACATGCATACAAATTTGTATTTCTATCCTTGATAAGGATTAATTTATTATAGCCTTACCCTGACCTTCACTGTAAACATAACTTTTACTTACACTAATCCTAACCAAAACTTATTTCATCCCTTAGGCCTAAAGCTAAACCTTTAAACTAATAATTACACTCCACAGTATTAGACCAGGCTTTTGAACCAAAGCAGTTCTGGTTCTAACATGGTACCTCAACCTCTGTTCCTGTGAGTTTCTGTGCAGTTAGACCAGGTATTTTTTTACTATGATGAAACAGCACACACATACTCTTATCACTAGTTTGAGCAGGAGAGACAAACAGATCAATAGCTAGTACTTGCAGCGGTAAAGTGGAGGACTTACTGTCAAAAACGTAGGAAAAGATGTCAGTCGAAGGAAAGATTTATCAAGATTTAACCACAGATGTGGGTTTTCATCGCCAAACATTTGGACAAGGTAAAATTTTAAATTTACCTCTTTTTCTGACTTTTTTATCTTTATTAAAATGTCACATACGTTTTAAAAATCTTGAAAATATTTTGAACACGTTTAATTTAAACCTGCTAATCCATCTGTGACTTGTCAGTGTGTAAAAATGTCACAGTAAAAACTCATTATGTTGTATAAGACTTTCTAAAGACGGCGTTAGCTTGGAAGAGTAACACTAATGGGAACATTTTGATGGTCTGCATGCAGGCAGAGCTGGATTTGGCTTTCGACACCAACGACTGGTTATTCTGAGCCTGGGCCTGCTGAACGCTGCGCTGCTGATATCTGCTGCTGTCGTCGGGATTTACTGTGAGTATGAGAGTTTATATATACACTGTAGTTTATGTACAGCCAATAATTAGTGAAACATAAAACTGGCATTCATATTTTTGTTACATTCTTTAAAGCCCTTTATGTTAACTGGAATTGTATAAGTTTGAGTTGACTGGTTTCAGTGTGAAAATAGTTATTCTTTGCACCAAGGCAGGACAAAACAGAACAAAATGAAAATAAAGTTAAATTTAATATCAAAGTATGTTGCAATATTCGAAAAAAATGTGGGGCTATATAGCTGTATACATCCTTTAGAAGGAAGCATTTGATTATCATTTTCCCATAAAGCCCATTGAAACTTATGTAATATTATTTTTTTTAATAAAATGTTCAGTTTTTCTTAAAAACCACCATCACATGTTCATGTGTCCACCCCCACCCCCCCATGCTGCTTTTAATGTCACTGCATACATTTGAAACCAAACTTAGACTAAGTAAACTTCTTGTTTTTAATCATACATGCAACAAACAAATATATTAATATAATCTAAGCTTTCAGTCTGAACACAGTTTTCTTATTTTCTTTTATCATAGCTCTAACTGGACATTTACAAACAAGTATTTTCTGAAGAAGTGTGTAGTTTTGCCTTTAGGGTAAGCAGAGTGTGCCAGTTAAGAGAAGAAAGACAAGATAGAAGTTTATTGATCCCGCAGGAAAATGTTGTGCAAATATTATTATTATGTGCAAATTGAAATATCTTTTTAAAACCATATATATATATATATATATATATATATATATATATATATATATATATATAGGCTAGTGTATTTAAGATTTTAGATTAGTTTTGTTATTGTTACAAATAACTTAAATCAACATCTTGTTGGTCACATTAACGTGTAAAGACACATGACGGTGACACGGTGGCTCAGTTGGTAGAGCTGTAGCCTCTCAGCGAGAAGGTCGTCAGATCAAATCCTGTCTGGGGGCCTTTCTGGGTAGAGTTTGCATGTTCTCTCCGTGCATGCGTGGGTTTTCTCCGGGTACTCCGGTTTCCTCCCACAGACTAAGAACATGCATGTTAGGCTGATTGGTAACTCTAAATTGTCTCTAGGTGTGAGTGAGAGAGTGAATGGTTGTTTGTCTCTATGTGTCCCTGTGATGGACTGGAGACCTGTCCAGGGTGACCCCCGCCTCTTGCACAGTGATAGCAGGATATGGGCACCAGTGACACCCCATGACCTGAAAAGGAAGAAGCAGGTAAAGATAATGGATGGATGAATGGATGGATGGATGGATATATGGAAGTGTACACAAGCGTCATGGCAGCAGCCAAGATACTGGACACAAGTATCGTGCTGATAGGCTGAAGAAATAAAAATTGTGCATTTATTATAGTTTGTCCAAAACGATTTGGAGACCAAATCCAGTATGAAACAAAGATCTGAATTTAAACTTCATCAAATATGAGGTGCAAGGCATAAATCAACAGTTTACTCCTCAAAACCAAACAACTGGCAAATCAGTAAATAAAGAAATAAAAATCATAGTTGAACAGATTTTTCAGAAACAAGTATTGTTTAGTATTTGTGGCCAAAATAAACCTATTGTCACATTTATGTGCTAAATTATATAGCTGCATTTTCATTCATTTATTGGACACTTAAACAACCTGTATCCAGTCCATGGACCAAAGAAGTTCACCACAAGACAGAAAACCTTCTCATCATTGTATCATCAAATGGTTAACACGTGTTTGAAGTAGCTTTAAGCTGAGATGCTTCCCTCGACATATGATGGTGGACGTGGCGGTGCTACAGAAAAGGGTCAGATCATCACAATAAGTAGGATTTATCCTTTGGGGGACATAAATATCTCCTCAAAATGTCACAGTAATCCTTCCAGGAGTTGCTATATTGCTCTAAGGACTAAAATTCACAAAAATTCACAGAAATAACAACCAGTTGTTTTCTCTCATGTTGTTTTTATCCATCAGGTGCTAATGCAAAAGACCTCCAGGTTTCTGATTTAGCAGGCATGCCCCTCATCCTGCAGATGAACTTTCTCCGCAACCACACAGGCATCATGAAGGCCAAAGCAGCGGCGCAGGCGGCCCTGGTGAAAGAGCGTGCCGACGCCGTGCAAATAAAGCTGGAAATGGCGCAGAAGAACGCCCTCACCGACACCTTTGAGAAAAGAATTCAGAGTCTGAAAGCAGAGAGGACGACTCTGCAGTCACAACAAACTACTTTGGGTACGTTTACAATAAAATTTCACATTGGGGCAAAAGTCCAACTTCCTCCTCCACAGAAACACACGCAGAACATGTGCTGCAATTATAACTGAAAACATTAATGCTTCTAACGTCTCAAACTCTCGTTAAAACAGAGAAAAACTGCGACAGATGCCCGTCAGGATGGGTTCTGCTGAAAACATCCTGCTATTATTTTTCTAATTATGAAGATGCATCAAAGAAGAACTGGTCAGCCAGCAGAGCAGACTGCGTCAGTAAAGGTGGAGACTTGGTGGTGATCAACAGCTGGGAGGAACAGGTACAGTCCTTTTAATTCGTGGGAGCAGACAAGGATGAAAGAAGTCACCCTCAAGTTTCAGCTCATTCTGCTGTTTAAGCTCACGTCGAAAGAATTATCTCACATTTATTTATTTATTACAGCAAACCATTAATGTCAATTTGCCAAGGCTGGGAAGTAGCAGCAGCATGTGGTGGTTGAACGGGTTCTGGATGGGCCTCACAGCTGTCGAAGGCCAGGGAACATGGATGTGGGTGAACAATACGGAGGTGTCCTCAACGTAAGCAAAGGACTGTTACCCCTTTACTCATCCACTATGCAGAGAAAATCCCTGAACGTTTTCTTCTTCTTCTTCTTCTTCTTGATTCACCAAAAGGTACTGGAAATTTGGACAGCCCCAAAACAGAGAACCTTGGAGTGGAAACTGTGCTGCACTTCTTTACTACGTTGATATTAGAAAAACGTGGTATAGTCTAAACTGCCAGCAGAATCAGCTCAACTGGATCTGTGAGATGGAGCCAAGGAGAAACTGAACTATCCTACAGTTATGATGGGAGAAATGATGAATAAACGTGAATAAATCATAAAAATATTTTAGTTGCATAATCCACAGTTAGATGTATTGGACAACTGTTTATACTGTATGTATTTTCCAAGTAAACAACAATAGATTATCTTTTTGTTTTATAGGATTATAACTGTGGACTGCCTAGAAATGCAGCCACCTATTATTATCCACCTGAAAATCCATCTGTTCTATCAACTTTAATGCAGCTCAAACTGCAATGTGTCCCCCCACATGTTATATCAAAACGACCAGCTTGGCGTCGTGAGGTGTACTATTACTTTTATTGGCATTTCAAGTTACCATGGTGACGTAATTTGCAAACAGACCATTTTTCTCATTGGAAAACACTGACAGAACTCTTAAGAGCTTCTAACTGCAACAGTGAGGTCACATGACCTAGAGTGGAGAGGTCTCTGAAGAAAACACAGATTAACTTTTGCAGCCATTTTGGCTCAAAATGGCTGCCACAGCTAACTCGGGAAACTCAAAATTGACTAACAGTCAAGACACTGATCTGAGCTTTGGTATGGTCGTAGCTGAGAGCGGTTGTTATGCATTTCTAATTCAAGATGGCCGCATTATCGAAAAGGGAAAAAAATATAACACAGCTGTTTTAAAAGATATTGAGCTAAGTTTGGAGTGGTACATGACAGCAATGCACAATACATTCTGAGTTCAAATCTAAAAATGCGAGATGGACGCCAAAGCTAATATCAAATGGATATAACTTGGAGGTTTTTAGAGCTATTCAGCTGACATTTGGTGTATTGGTAGATGAGAGCAATCCCTAATAGACTCGGTTGCAAATTAAAAATCCAAGATGGCTACCTGAGCTAAAAAAGAAAAATACCAGTATTATAAATCAGCTATTTTTAGATATATTAAACTTAAATTTGATGTGGTGGTAGATGAGAGCAATGCCCAACAACACATACTGTCAAATCAAAAATTTAAAATGGATGCAACATGGCAGTCCCCATTAAAGTTTCTCCTTTTAATACTTAAAAAAAAAAAACGTAACTAGAAAAAACTTGTGTAAAATCATAGAAATTTGTTAAGAATAATCATTTAAAATCACTAAATGGAATTAAAGTGTTCATTAATAAAATACTGTCAAATAAATTGGAGATTGTCTTGTTTCGGAGAACAGGTGACCTGTAACCTCAGTAAATGTTTAACATTTGGACTTGGTTTTCTGTGTGTGATGTTACACACACACACACAACACAGGGCAATGTCCTGACAGTTTCTGCTAGAAAAATCTCATTTCATGTTAACGGTCAGAAATGGAGGACAAAGAAAACCCAGCTGGCTCTTATAAGCAGCTAACCAGTCAGGAAGAAGCCACGGAAGATGAACTTCCTCTTCACTCAAACCAAGAACAACAGCAAGGTACTGAAACCGCCGGTGAAATATTCATAATGAACACTCATTCTAAAACTGCTAATGTATTGCTTTGTAAGTTGCTGAATCACATTGTGAATAAAATCAACATTGCATAAAAATGTGTTGCTAAACTTCTGTAAATATGTTGATCATTATGTATTGTTTTCATACTTCTGATTATCGATCAGTAAATGTTCTGTGCAGTGACCCTGTCCACCCTGAGACCTGAATCCAGTCTGAGTTACCACAAACCGCTCGCCGTCAGCCTGGCAGTGCTTGCTGTCATTCTGTTAGCAGTTAATATCGGCCTGGGAGTCTACTGTAAGTAATTTAACACAAACTACATCAAATGTAAAACTGATGACGCACGTGCTGCTTGTGATCGATGAAGCTAATCATTGTTAAGATTTATTGATCGGTAGCTTTCTTTGGTTTTGTTCTCCTTTACTTTCACAATTTAAATCATTTGGCCCACCGCCTGCCACACCTCCAGGAAAATAAATATCTTGTATGCTTAAACTGATTGTCACTACACAAAGTTATAGTGAAAATAATGAATCATCCAAACATTTAGTTCAGACGTTAACATAAAAAAATGGCTGTTTTCCCTCCTCTGAAGAACTAATAACTGTTCCTACACAGCTTTAGAAATGAAGATGGCCGCCCCCAGACTGAAACAAACAGCTACGACAGCAAACTTATTATTTAACTATAGCTCATATATTACGAGCAATTTACTAATGATTTTTATTTGATCTTTTATTTTTTAATTATTGTTTAAATATAATATAATGTAAGTGTAAAATTATTATAAAAAAATACAAAAATGCACTTTTGCAACAACAACAACAAAAAACTTGTTTGTGGTTGTTATTGTCACAATTTGTATTTTTTAAAATCTTTATCAACTAATCATTATGCACATAAAAAACATGCACTTTAGTACCTGAGGATGGACACCTTGGCAGAATTATAATAAATCTTCTACAAGTTTTTTTTATTATCTTTGTGACTTCATGTCATTTTTTTAACCCAGCATTGTCTATTTTGTTTTATTTCAGCCATTGTTTAGTTACATTTTTATACAGTAATTATTTTTCAATTAGCTTTAACTCCTACTAGCCAGTTTTTTTAAATAATTTTTGTTTAATTGTGTATTAGGTGCTGCAAATGTTTGTGTTTTGTGACACTGTGTCTGCACTGCTTACAGACAGCAAGCTCACTAATGGCAACATTTTAAGAGACATGAGCAGAGAGATAGCCAAACTGCAGGCTTCTTACAACGCTGCAGTCCAAAGCAGGGATGAAACCCAGAAACAGCTGGAGACGGAGCGCAAACAGCAGCAAGTCACCAAGTGGGAGTATGAGCACCTGATCATGAGAATCAAAGACTATGAAAAGCAGGTGGAAAGAATTCAGATGGAAATCGCATCAGTGAATTCCCACCTACCGATGATAAGTGAGACTTGTTTTCTCTAAAGGTATTTACATGTTTGCTCGGACTCAGCATCATGACCCTGCTTTCTTTGGCATCAGGAGAGGGCTGCAGACACTGCTTGGCTGGATGGACTTTCTTGAGCTCACGCTGTTTCTACTTCCCATTTTCCGACACATTCTACCGCACGACGTGGCAGGAGGCCCGACAGTTCTGCCAGAGGCTGGGGAGCGACTTGGCCATCATAGACAGCAAAGAAAAAAATGTAAGAGTTTACAGTGAATTCTTCTGCCACTAACCAATCACGCCTCATTGCTGCGCAGTACAATGTTCTCTGTATTCTCTTTGTTGCCAGATGGCGATAACTGAGCTGGTAAAAAATAACCAGGATTTCTCAAGGTCATTTTACCAGAATGGCTACTGGATCGGACTGAGTGATGCAGAAGACGAAGGAGTTTGGAAATGGATTGATGGGATGAGACTGAGTGAGGGGTAAAAGATTTAACAGAAGAAAGGAATACCCTGAAGTTTGTCAATCTTAAATCGATATGAAAGCAAATTCTCCTCCTTGTGGTTGTGGCCATCACAGATTTTTGATACCACTCTTAAAAATGGTTGGATATGATGGTTTTAAATACAATGTGTGAGAGCAGATTCATGAAAAAACTGGTATTTGTTGCAGGTACTGGAATGCCGGGGAGCCGAACGACAGCAACAATGAGGACTGTGCAGCCGTGTACCCCAAAGCCAACCCTTTCATGTCCTGGAACGATGCACCTTGCAGCTATAACCTGAAGTGGATTTGTGAAATGTCACCAAAAGCCATGGGTTAATGAAATTACTCTTAGAAAAACAGAGGGAAAACCACAATAAGTTTAGGTTTAATTGTTTTAACAAAAAATAAAAATTTCTAACTACTTTCTTTATTGTTATGTCTGCATCGTCTATAAAATGTCATGGTAATACAGTATTAAAAAATGCTTCTGAAAATACATAAATGTGAATCTTTTTATTGAAAGAAATATGAAATGACCCTCTACTATGTACAAATATATTACTAATATACAATTACCAACATATCAGAAAATACATGTTGGGCACAAGATGTGAATTTCAAATGAATTTATGTCCTACGTTGAGTGAAACAAACACGTAGTCTCACATAAACAATCAAAACTAGTTTGCCAAAACTCTGGATTTCTGTGTTTTGATGTATTTAAAGTTTGTACAGAGAAGTGCTTCAAAAGCCCAAAACAAATACTTCCTGATTCTGTATATATTGTGCAAAATCTTTTTTAGAAGTGTCCAACATATTTCCAGAGACTCACTCACAAATATATAATTTATATAATTTAAGTAGCAGATAAACTGGTAATTTAGATATATATTTTATATAAACACAAATAAAAACTAATGCCTCTTTGTTGGTTTTAAGTTTGACTAACCTGCCCACCTTGTACTACTTTTGTAACTTTGCCTGATGGTGTTGGGACTCTCACAGCACTGCAAAGTGCTGACGAAGCACTTTGAGAAGCTGCTGAGTGTCAACGTGCTCTGGAAAAGCATCTTCGGACTTTTGGGCTGCGGTGTAGCTGCTCTGAAGGTCTCCAACCTGGATACAGACAAAAAAAAAAACAACCTTTAAACACGTTACTTAACTGCACTTTACTGTGGACAAGGCTCAAATGGATACAATGTAATGTATTGTTACCTTTTCACAGAGAATGGAGAGATTGAAGTGTGGCTCATACATGTGAGGTGCCACTGATGCAGCTGTTTGCAGGAAGGCTTTGGACTGGATTAAAAAACCGTGGAACAAAAAATATTTATTAAAAAAAAAAAAGTTTATCATGTCAGACCAGCAAGTTTTAGAGCATCTAACCTGACAAATTGTGCAATAAAACAGTCTACTATTACGTTTTTAATTTTGTTTCCACGTTTCCAGCTTGCAGTAGCATAGCAGCAAATAGAACTAGCAGAAATATTCTGCACAGCAAACAAGCAGACACCCTGCTACATAAATGAATCAACATAATCTCAACATCTCATGATATCTGATCACATAAGAATGCTAAAATGATTTATGACAGCTCTTGGTTAATGCAGGCTTGTTGGTGGGATTTATACATCAGAAGAGTAACTTCTAAATAAATCCTGTCCTACTAAAATACAGAAGTCATTCTTATTCTAGTGAGTATTTAATATTTGATTTTTAAAAATCACATAAAGGTTAATCTGCTGTTAAACTAGCAATACTCATATGACAATATGTGCATTAAATTATTTAAAAGATTATATTTATATACTCAAACTTTAACACTTTAACAGCTCACCTGTTCAATATGACCTTTGCGCAGCTCCAGTACAGCCAGATTATTATAGGCCTCCGCATGATCATTATTGAAAGCTAGAGTCAGTTTGAAACACTGATACGCCAAGGTCAAGTCACCTATGCCCTGTAAACACAACACATAACCTTAACCTCCTTTTGTGAGGCCTATAAATCATTATCTGATTTGTTAAACTGTAGATCCTATAAAAGATGGAGGGATTAAATCAAATCACGAGGCCTTCTGGGATTTTTTTTTTTCTGAGACTGCTGACTCACCACAGCAACATGTCCAATGTTGTACCAGACATCTGCCTGCTCTTCGTCATTGGCCACCAGAGCCAAAGCCCTCTCGAACGAGGACAGAGTCATATCGTACTGCTGAGCGTAGAAACAGCACAGGCCCAGGTTGTTGTACAGTTGGCAGTTATACACACCCATCTGAAGCAGCCGTCTAGTAGAGGAAGAAGCATATTGAATCAAACCGAACTTCTCATGCCCTGAACTTTAAAACACATTACATCTTTAGTTACTGTATAAAGTCTGTCTGACCTGTAGAAGCGCAGGGCGATCTCAGGCTGATCCGTATAGAAGTGATTGCTGCCTATGCAAGCGATAGCCTCCACGTGTGTGTTGTCCTGTTTCAGGACCTCTTTGTAGTATTCCGTGGCTGAGGAAATGTTGTTCATTTCCTAAGAATTAATTACATTAGAGACAGTAAGCATCCCATTTAGATACTAAATCATGACAGCAGATGGAGAGGACTCCCTGCTGGTGTACTTTACCTCATGGATGCGAGCGATTCCTGTTTGAAGTGTGACCTCACCAGGGAAGTGGTCCAGACCTTGCTTGAAAAGATTGAGGGCCGTTATTGGTTGATCCAGGCGTCGATAAACCTATGGTAAATGGAATGGTACTTAGCGTTTTTCTATCTGATGAAGATACTCAAAGCGTTTTACACTAACCTGTGCCCTAATTTACCCATTCATACAGCACTCTACTACATCTATACAAAGAATAATCAGTGCTTTGTCACATTCATGCACCGATGGGACACACATCGGAGGCAATGAGGGGTTCAGTGTCTTGCCCAGGGACACTTCAGCATGTGACTGCTGATGGAATCGAACCCACAACTCTTAAATTGGAGGTCGACTGCTCTAACTACTCAGCCACAGCTGCAATTTATCCAACAAATTATTTTTTTGAAGGTGCACCAACATGTTAATATAATGTACTGCTGTCACATTTCTGTTATTACCTTTGCAAGGTAGAGGTATGTATCTACCACCTCTTCGTGGTTGAGGGCTGACCGAAACTGTTTCTCAGCCTCTCTGTATAAACCAAGCCTAAAGAGGCAGGAAAGTGGCAACAATTAGCAAAAATAGCAAAAGAAAACAACATTGGACATGAACAGTGTCGATAGTTGAGTTACTTGCCTGTAGTAACATTTTCCCAGTTGAACTTTCCACCACCAGTCTTTGAACTGTGCATGCTCAGTCGCCTGAGCAGCCAAATCTAAAGCCTGCACAGGAAATATTTACTCAAAAACATAAAATGTAATGCCAACTATTTATCTTTACAGCACAGACGAAAGCAAAACTTACATTTTTCATGTCATTTTCATGATGAAAGATGTACTCAAACAATGTCTGCAGAGGCAAATGCTGATTATTTGACAGGTAAGGATGAATTATTTTTGATGCATTGCTGGAGAAAATTGTTTGTTTCTTACCCTGGATAAACTTGGCTTTTGGGAATACTTGGCCAAATTTAGTCTTGACAAGTTTATGAACGGTCCTTCAGGGTTGGTCAACATTGAAGCCTGAGGGGTAAAAAGAAACAACAGTTTGAATTAATGTGTTTTGTTGGGTGGAAAAGGTGTTTTTGCATTTTGGACACTTACTGTTCCCGAACGAATGAATCTACCAGAAGACCCAGTGACAGGACGAGCAGTGCTTGCAGTGCGTGGGGTTTTGATTGCCTGTTCCATCGTCCCTGGACGCCCTGACTGTGTACTTGGTCTCACAAATCCAGTGACAGGACGCCCCGACTGTGTCATAGGCCTGATTATAGGAAGGGGAAAAATAAACAAGTATCTTCCTTCACTTAAAAAAAATTGGTCAATTATCTCCCAAATACCTGACAGCTGGAGAGGGACCTCCACCCTGACTGGTTCCAGGGAGTCTCAGTGATGTGCCAGGTCCTGGACGAGAGTGGACTTGTATTATTTAAAAACTACTCAATCAGTAATTGTTGCAATAAATTATTTGGCTTAATGCTGACAAAGAAACTAAACCTACGTGCAACTTGCGCAATTGAGTTCTCATCCAGCATCATTTCAGCAATTCCCTCCTGGTCAACATCAACTTCATCGATGTACACCATCTCCGTAAGGGCACGGGTTTTTAAGCTCCATGCAGCCTGTGACACACAATGTTTGAAACACCCAAAGTACTCAGGTATAGTTAAAAGTGGACATATACAATCAGAACCTATGATGAACTAAGGGTGTTAAAAAGAATAGTAAAGAGAAATGGAGTGCACTGATTATTACCTCTGAGATAAGCAAGGACGAGTCCTTAGGACAGAATGCAGTAAAACAGCGAGAAAAGAATAAAGCTGATAGCATTAGGTCTGAAACAGTAAAATAAATAAATAGCATGCAGGAGAGAAAAGAATGGAAGTAACATAACAAAAACCAAATACTGACTGATGCTGTTAAATAAACACCTAACAGTGCAGTGCTAGTGAGTTATGGTAAACTATTCAGCTAATAATACACGGCTAATCGGATTATGCAGCAGCTTGCAATCTTAAACGAGATAGCAATGTTAGCAGGGACGGCTAACTACACCCTTACCTGGTCGTATGGACTGTCTTGCAATATTTTAGTACAAATGTCTGAACATTGTTGAAGTTTCCGCCTCCTGAAATAGCTCAACGCAAGAAATAAAGGGTCCATTGTGACCTCCATCGCTGTGGCAGGTAGCAAAGTTAGCTAGATGCTAAACGAAGGGGTGAAACAGACAAACTTCCTCTGTTGCTCGGCAACACCGAAGGAAGGCGGTCCTTCAGTACAGCAATTTCCGGTGACGACCCAAAAAAATAAATGTACAGTAATGAAAAATAAAAACAAAATGAAATTATAGTCTCACATAATTAAAATATGCTTTGTGTTATTTTAAACCCAATCATGACAAAAATGTTATTTTCGGCATGCAACTGAACTACATACATAGTACTTCATTACTTATGTACAAACTCACGATGATGTAAAATAACATAGAATTTCTTGCCAAAAACTTTTTTCAGGATTAGTGTTT